GCGTTATTCCCACCTCCGCCACCGCCTCTGGACTGCTGCTGGCCGGAGGAACGGTTGTAGCCGTCGGTGTAGCCTCCTCCGCCTCCTCTGCTACCTCCTCTCGGGTGCTCGTTCCAACATTTTTCCCCGTACCGACAACGCCCCTGAAGGAAAAAGTTACACACTGTCATTGTAACGCGTTTAAAAAACGAAAAAAAAAAAAAACTGCGTTAACGCCAAAGCTTCTGTTTCGGAAAGTCGCGCGCTTGATTTGTTTTGAGAATTGCTTCAGTTCAACAAGTCTTGTCGCACCACAATGACGTCATGGCGTCGTCTTCCGTCCACAGCGACCCCTTGTGGACACTCGTGTCCAAGCTCTTCATTGTCTTTTATTTCTAATTATATTCTTTTCTGTAATGTAACTTGTTTTAGTTTAAAGTAGTCCTACTTTCACTATTTTATACCCTTGTATAGCCTAATTAAACTCCATATACTCTAATTTTCTCTCATGAGAAAATCCTGCACATTGTATTTCAACATAAAAATTTATCAGAGATAAAGAAAAAAGAAATCGAGAACCATGTAGAATGTGTCACATTCTACAAGACGCATTCATTTTAAGGCAATTTGTCCTGCACTCTTTTAAATTTGAAGATTTAAAAGAAGATATTTGATTTAAATCTAGTCACAAACGATTGGCCTACAGATAATACTCAAGCTATCAATTTATTTATTTGTTTATTTATCGATTTGCTAGAGCCATGGTGGTGGTTTATCTGGTGTGTTTTTTAATGATAATTCATTATGAATGCACAAAAACTAATCAATTGATGGTTTGCACAAACACAACTGCAAAATTTAAGGTTTAAAAAACGTGGCTCCAACATTTTTTCAAGCCCCAACTAAATCCCAAATCGCGCAATATGTTTACATTCTTATGCAACTGAAAGCATTTGCATCTATAATCATCAGGACAGGGCCCGCAATTTAACAGGAGATGCCTCATAACCTAAAACAGTGTGGTAGTGTGGGTTTGTCAGTTTGGATTGCTCATGATCAGAGAACACAGACAAAAAGTAAAATAAAGTTTTATTTCCAATATATACTATGAAAGAAGTATTTAGTAACACAATGAGCAGCAAACAACAGTTATTCAATGTTTACAGGACAAGAGGAAACTTGATTACATTATTAATAAAATATTAAACTTTTCCAAAAATAAAAGTGTACTTTTAAAAAGCACTATTGTATCAGCAGCTAAATATTCGTAAGACTTTATAAAAATATTTAAAGTAAATGTTTTTCTTCAACAATAAAGAAAGTAGTTGTTTGTTAGCATGCACCAAGTAGAGCTTCATAAAACCGTACAGCTAATGTACAGATCTGCAGAATCTATGTATGAAGTATGAAGATTGCATTTAAAAACATTTGTGTTCATCAAAAATCCTCTAAATTAGCACCCTTGAAGCTACGATTCAAAACTCACCGCTGAAACAAATTAGTCCTGTGATCCAAACGTTAAAACATGAATACAACAGGACTGATGGATAACTCTTATTTTGTTTTGGACGGAAGGTGAAAGATTTAGCTCCAAATTCTTTAAAGGTTTAGAACAGTCAATAAAATAGCTATCCAAGCCAGAACGGCACCGCAGCATGAGGAGGCTTTCTTAAATTAATCTGATAAAGGGTTATTTTTTCCCAGATTTATAAAAATGTATAAACGTTTGCTCTGAAAATAAAACGTTTCACATACACTTGATTGTACTTATAAAAAATAAAATATAAAAATAGCACTAGACTTTCAAATAAAGTTTACTAAGTCTCCAAAAGGACAAAAAAAGAGTGTCATTGGCTATAATACAAACAATAAGTTTTGTATTAAACTGTGACAAGCTTGTTCTCATCAATAATTTACGGGGGGGTGGGGTGACCCAAAAAGAAATAAAGAAATGAAAACATTAAAAAAGCCAATCAAGTGAAATTTGAATGGATTTGCTGAAAGAATAACTAGGACTCTTCAGCACTCAGCAAGGTCAAGCCGTGGATGCAGAGACTGAGGACAAGATGGCCGACACCTGCGTCGTTTCCTGTCTCCATCCAAAGCCGCTCGCCGTCTCTGGTCAGCGTGGTGCCGACGGAGGCCAGGAGCTGCTCGGCCTGCTGGAAGGCCTGGTTGTCCAGGAGCAGGCCTGGAAGCGGCTGGAACGAGAAAGGCTCGCTGCTCATCTGTGGAGACAAGAAAACAAAATTATTTTTGGCTTGCTTTTTTTTGGTTTTGTTTTTGTAAATGCATAGCCGGCTGCTTGAGTTTTGATTGGCTGAAAGAGCGGACTCGGGGAAGAAAAGGTTTCGCGTGTGCTGCGTGAACAGTATTGGATGTGTGAAGGAGTGTGCCGCGGTGGCTTCGGTCGCTGTATTTCGTCGCTTTTTGGTGAAGCAAACCAACCAGTGCGTCCATGGCTGCCAGAAAATCCGGTTGGCTGTCGCTCAGAAGGCTCAGGGTCTCATCTGACAGCTCTACAGAATGTAGAAACACACATCGATACACATTTATAACGAGGGGGTAAAAAAAAAAAAACTCTCTCTGGGTCTCTAAAAGGCCGCTTACCTTCCATGGCGCTGAGCAGCATATGTGCTGCTTTCAGGTGCGCGGGGACATCGCTCTGGGTGTGTTCAGGGACACGGGCTGAGTCCAGCAGGTGCAGGTCAACGATCTCCGGCAGCTCTTCAAGAATGGCCGTGTCGACCGTCCTGCCACAACGCAGCTCCTCCAGCTGTCGGAAAGGAAAGTTAAAGCACGAACAGGATATGGGAAAATGGGGAGAAAAAAAAAAGGATTTCTAGATATTTAAAATAAATGAGCAATCATTCGCACATCGCTTTTCAGTGCGTCAACACATTTTCCTGTTTTCACTACGCACATGCATTAAAAAGACCTCCTGTCTTAGCATATTAAGGAGATGCCATGTGTCCCTCACCACGCACTGCAGATACAACAGCACAGCTCTGTCCCCCAGAATCTCTTGGAGCTTCTCAAACAAGGTGTTTCGGATTGGCTGTGGGAGCTCCGCCAGAGGAAGGAGGTCCGATTTCTGCGAACCTGCAAGACGGCAGAATACGCAGCCACCGATTCTGAGACCTCTCCCCTTTTCATGGCTTTTGCTTTTCGATCTGACTGTCAAAAATGTCACGAATTTCGCAAAGCGTCAGCTAAAATGGAACTACTTTACATACACAACAAAGAAGCCACTGGTTAACCGGTGTTTCAAAAGGAAAAGGAACTTTCTTTAGTTCAAACAATGTGGTTTGTTTTACTTCCTCACGTCCGCTGGATTACAGCCAGCTGTTTGCCACTATGAGAGAGAGGGCAAATACATGAGCGGACAAACCGTTGTGGAGATTGCTGGGCGGCGCTTCCCCTTGAATGGAGCGGTCGTTGATTTTGCCGTCGACCGTGTCACCGGGTGATATAGATCTGAAGGCCGAGTCCTCCTCGAAGCCTCCGCTTGTGCCGGGTTGCAGGCAAATGTCTGCGAAGATGTTGGCCAAACCGTAAAATCATCAGATGTACTTCTCCATTCCATGGAGGGGGCACCACCCTTCTATTATAAGAATTATCCGAAGCCACCAAGAGTTTTTTTCGCAAAAAAAACTAATAAAAATTGATGACTTATCACTCTGTCTGACTCACACAGCCGACAAAACAGAGAGGGGACAGAAATTTAAGACCAGTGTTGAGCAGTGGGGACACTCATTCGAAATCATTGTCTTTATTTTGAAATTTCAGATTTGTTTTTTAAGTCCTCAAACACTAGATTTGTGGGGATTTTGCTTTGTGTACACATTTCTGTGTCTCAAATCCAAGCCGGGAAGCTTAAATTTAGCGTCTCTGGGTACCAGAGCAGAAGTGATGATGCTGGTTTCATTTTTTTCTCTCCGGACGTTCGGTTTTTTAAACGCACTCCCGGACTCACCGAAGCGTCCGCTTTTCCTTATCTCCAGCTCCAGAATGCTGTAGGCGATAACCGTGTCGGAGGGGATCTCCAAGACGTCGCTGCCCACCTCAATGTTGTTGATGTCCTTCACACACACCTAAACACACACACACACACACACGCTTGGTTTACGGAGCGCTGACTGATGAAGCTGATGTTTCTATTTGTGTTTGCACTAAAAAAAAACAAAAAAAAACGCACCTTGACGGAGCTCCCTAGCAGGCACAGCAGCCGGAGCACGACCCGGAAGGCGCACTGCTGGGTCTTGTTGAGGGTGATGGAGCAGGGGCTGGTGGTCAGGATCCGCTCCTTCACCACGCCCAGCACCTCGGCCCGCTTATCCAGCTGCCGCACCAGCACGTGGCTCATGTCCACCGACCTGAGGGCAACAGGCTCTGTTAACCCCCACGGCGTGGTGGTGGGGGGGGGGGACGGCGGCGCGTAATGGGTACCTGCCCTGGGAATCGATCAGGAGCTTATTCACGTCCAGCTCCTGTTTCTTCAGCTTGCCGAGTCCCGCCTGGAGCTTGGAGGTGCCCCGGCCCCCCAGGGTCAGGTCGGCGGGGCCGGCCTCCGCCTGCAGCGTCCCGCCGTGGTCGTCGCTGTACGTCCCCTCGTAGGTCAGGAACTCGGTCTCGGTCAGTCCTTACAGGGCAAACCCCACCAGCGTGTTAGAATCAGGACAGAAAGGAAATACACAGGTCTTACTGTACATAATACATATATTATTTACATAATATTATAATATAATGATAGATAGAGAGATAGATAGATAGATAGATAGATAGATAGATAGATAGATAGATGGATGGATGGATGGATGGATGGATGGATGGATGGATGGATGGATGGATACACATATATTATGAATATCATTATAAATGTCGTTGTTATTTGGCGCTATATAAATAAATTGAACTGAATTGAATATATCATTATATTATACATTAATGAATATATGATAACATTATAATAATACATATATTATTATGTGTTGGTGACAGGTGATTAATCAGGTGTTATTTGACAGAGTGTTTTCTTTTGGCCACAAAAGTTCCTGAGGGTGAACAGCCGCATACCAGGTTCCAGCGCCTCGCCCTCCAGGAGCAAGTCTATGAGGGTGAAGTCGGTGGGCTGGTACTTGGGCTTCTGCCAGACCCAGATCCGGTTCCGCTTCACAACGAGCCCCAAGGGAACCAGCTTGTGCGAGTTGTTCACTCGGGACACGTGGATGAGGCTCCCCTCGGGGTCAACCTGCTGCACGAAGTTGGCGGTGGCCTTGGAAAACATGGCCTCGGGAGACAGGAAGCTGAGAGGGAGAAAGGGTTTCTTTAGTCAACCAAGCTCTCGGCATATTTGTCTTAATCTTATAAATATTCTCTTCCCGGTTTTCCCCAAGTTTATGTAAGATGGAGAGGCACTTTGGAAAGTGTGGGGCCACCCTACGGGAGCCCTCGGGCCAAACGTGGAGTAGTGACCCGCCAGGACTGAGGAAGTCCCCCACGTGTCAAGCGGTTATGACACACTCTGTAGTGTGTGTTTAACTACAAACACGCGCCACTTCTACAACCATGTGCTGGCTCGATTCATATCTGAAACGTTCGGATGTGTCAGCCAGTCGAGGGGATTTACCTCGACGCTTTGACACCCTGACATTTAAGTCAGAGTCAGAGAGCAGATGGTGACGAGGGCGTCAGCAGAGCGAGGCCCACATGATGCGGTTTTTCTGCCCCGTGGATCCAACTCCAACTCCAAATCAATTATTCAACGTCCGCGCGGATCTCTCCCCAACCCCAAAACTCGAATTCCGAAGGCTCAAATAGAGAGTTTCTAAATATTTGATGTCTCCTTTGTTTGCTGTGATGTGAAACCGGGAAACCGGGGAGAAAGGAGGATATCCAGAGTCCCTCGGAGAGGTGAAGAGCATCTACTGCCTGTAACAGTTCTCTAGATTTGGACGGAAAGACTATGCATTGTGTTAGGTGGCCATGTGGAAGTTAATCCAGGATTCAGTTTGTGGAATAAGATTTTCAATTTACAGAAGCTATGCGTGACAACAACAACAAATTGTAGATATCCAAAAGGGGAGAGGGGGGGGTTGCCAGTTTTTCCTATGTTGGGTGATATTCTTGAAGCACACACGCTCACTTCTAAATCTACAGAGATGATTTGGAGAGGCGCGCGCCAGCATTTCCCGGCAAACCACTTTCCAGTAAGTGCCGGAGCTGGAAGTGGCGCGTGCCTGCGCGCTGAAGTCAGGTCCTCCGAGGACCCGTGACCAGGATCAGGAGGGGTCGCTCAGAATAACGCCCTCTGAAAACGGTGGATACGTTTCTCTGCAACTATTGCGCGTTTTTTTTCTCGAAAAAGGTGCAAACAAATGATGTACCCAGCAGCCCAGATGAGGGAAAAACTTTCACCTACCTGACAATCCAGTCAAATGTTTACAAGTCACGGGCAATTTTTCCGTTGACAGCTCGCGCGCGTATATGTCTGTGCGTAAAAGTTTGCGCAGTTCGGGTCAGCGCCAATTGAAAATGGAACCAAAAATATCTTCAACCGCCTCTTGGATGGGTTTCTGCTGCGTGCATGTGAAGCCACTGGTCGCGGTGCTGTTCTGTCAAACTTATGGCTGAATGGAAGACGAACCCCCTTTACAGTGGACGATAAAGACCTCCTCCTCTGACGCGCTTTGGACCTAATTATAGTCATATGAACGCTCCAGTGTTTATGTGTGGAAGTGTGTGTGTGTGGGTGGTTATGAGGACATGAGCAGACTTGCCTTTTTGCTTTCCCTTTTTCTCGGTTTATTCAGAATATCAAAGCTTAGTGATTCATTCATGCCTTTCTGCTGCAGCGCACACACATTTACATTTAACTGATTTTGATTAATCGTTTTTAAAAATTTCAATACATATATATGACTAATTGCGAAAATGTTCGCAATTAGTCATACATAAAGATCAGCGGACAAATATTACCGTGTTATGGTATATTTTTTGTTGTGATGAAGACCAGTGAGGCTCTGCCTCCCCTGACCGCACGTCCCATAAATATATATACACAGCTATGCAATTGCACTCTGTGTGGCTGTGCAAGTTGAAAACCTTGGAAAATAATAATTTTACTCAGATTATTTCGTATGTTGGCACTCGGCATCCCCTACCGGTAGCCCCCTACCGGACCCCGCCTCCGCCCCGGTAGCCCGGTATCCCGGTAGCCCGGTATCCCAGTATCCCGTTATCCCGGTAGCTCCGAAACCGGCCACCCCCGGGCCCACCCGCTACCGGTAACTCCTTACCAGTAGCCCCCCTCCAGCCCCCGGTAGCGCGGTAGCCCGGTAACCCGGTAACCCGGTAGCCCACCCTCAGGCCCCGGTAGCTCCGTACCGTTGTTCGTCTGTTGCAGCGATACGTCAACTGCCCGTATGATAAAATCAAACGGACTGAACTCCATAAAGGGCCTTTCAAAGTGCTTTAAGTTAATGCACCTTATTCACACACACAGTAATATATCTGGCAAATAAATAAAACGTACGTAACTTTTAAAGTGATGATTATGCACTTTTACTTTTAGGATATAAGGAAGCACCAAACCAGCCGTTGTACTTTTAATACTGAGTATTTTCAGCTACTAAAGCCTGTAACTCTGTTACTGTAATATAAATACTGAAATGTTGAAATTTAACATGTAATCTGTGTCCATAATAACCAGATCCTGAAAAGTAGATGTGGTTTTCTGGATAAAGAGCACAAACATTTAACTGATTTTGATACTGTGACATACATGACCAGATGCACCCAAAACACCAAGCATTTGGTCATTCTGTCCACGTGGCCCTTTAGACGGATTGGAACTCTGTGACCATGATGTGAACCCACCTACTCACTCAGATTTAGTTAGTGACCGGATTAAAAGAAGGTTTGTGAGTGACAGTAGACTGGAGGAGTGGCCGAGTGTTGTGGGTAAAAATGATAAATAGTAACTTAAAGCTGTCAGGGAGTTGTCAGACAGATGAAGATATAATCCTTTGCTCCCCAGCACCCACACACACTGGAGCAGAGGCCTCTGTAAGGGGCTGATAAAAGCTGACATAACTTTGTAATATATGTATATTTTAAGCCTATAAACAGTAGAGTAGGTCACTATTTTTTGTTAGTTAACAACTGGAGATCTTTTTTTTGTCAGAATTTAGTCCCTAAACAATAAAACAGTCTTCTGAAGTTTTCAGGTATCTGAACATTCGAGATGTTTCTGGCTTCTGTTCTGACCACCAGCAACCACCACGTGCCGTAACCCAGACCAGTGGTCACTCTGAAAGTTGGTTCCAGTTTACAGCAGATGTCAGCACTCAAAAGAAGTGTTTTCAGTGAATCAGCTTTCGATCATCCAGTAACAGCTCCACCCACTGATCCAAACAGGGTCACTGCTGTCTTCTGAAGTATTTTCAGTCACAGAACTGCAGTAAAAAGCCGCAAAACACGGTGAAGCTGCCATGCAAACGCATTTGTTCTGACCTTATTTTCTCAGCAGCCTCTCTGTCACATGTAGCTGTTGGGGAATCAGAATAATGCGAAACACTGAAGATAATTGGGAAAATATGCAAGAGCAGATCTTCTGTTCTTGCATAACGCTTCCGATAATGCTTACTCTTATTCCTCTGAGTGGTATTGTATAATCTTATAAATCATGATGATGGAAGGGGTCATTTGGCAAGTGCTAGTGCTCAACTTTCCAAAAATTTAGATGATTTTTGCTTTCATGCATCCTGTCCATTTAGCTTTTCTAGATGGTAAACATAGACATTCTCACAAATACAAATACATGTATATATATATATATATGTAAATATATAAAATCACATTTAATTGATCTTTGATAGGTCTTTAATGAAAAATGAACAGTAACACCTTGAGGAAATTTTATTTTATTGAAAACATTTAAACCTAAGAATTTGGTTAATTCTACCGTAGGTTTTAGTCACAATGGTTGGTTCTATTTGGTAAAGATGTGTTTTGCCATTCGTTCAACTTTTTTTTTGCTGACTGAAAACCGCGTAATGAATGTAGAATTATTTTTGTTTTTCTCAAGAAAATGAAAAGTTCTCTGCATTATGAGTTTAGATATATCCGTCTCAGTTCATGGCCTAATGAACACTGATAAATATATGTGATAATGCTGCTTATGTTACTTAACATAAATGAGATCATAATAGAGTTTTGTATATTTAAAAAAAAAAAAAAAAATCTTAGAATATTCAAATACAATCATTTCTGACTTTGTTTAAACAGTCTCACTTGTCTTGCCCAAGGTCTCTTTTGACACTTTGGGGATAAAATCATTCCTTTCATCGGGAAACTGGTCATCGACAAGACACAATCATTGATGTGTTTATTTCTAAAATTGTGTCTGTGGTTTTACATTCTGTGTAAGAGTGGTGAACCCATCAAGCTTCATTCTCTGCATTAATTTACCATCAGCTGTTCAGCCTATTGTTGAGGAAAGTGAGAAAAGAGGAAGTTTGGACACAGAATAACTTCCACCCACTGGACAGTTTATTTCAGCATGGAGTTATCTTGTGCTTTTCCAATGAGAAACTGTATCCACAGTCGTATTACAGTCAGAAATAACAACAAGGCAGCACACTGAAAAAGGCTTTTAAAAACTTCCTTTTTTTTTTTTTTTTTTAAATAAAAACTTCTGAAGAGCCTGTTAATGAAGGAAGCAGAAATTACTAGTGTTAAGACTTTTCAAGGAAGTAAATTGACATCATTCAGACTCCGGAGTAAAATCTTTTCTCTCATTTGCATAAATGCGACAGCATTTCATGGAGTGCAGCACTACAGTAAAAGGCACTTTGGTAATTGCTGAGATGCAGTAAAACACATTGATATGCATGTTTAGTACACTGGCATGGTGTAAATAAAGGTTATTTCTGCTGAAACATGATAAACTACAGTACCAAAACCACGCACAAAGAAAGTTCTTTTGGCTCCGTTCCCTCCAGTTCAGAAACGAGAAGCAGCGAGGGCCATGAGGGTTGTGGTCACTGTGACACAGGGTGCGTTATGATGACCGTCGGATACCGGTCTTAGGTCACTTTTTTTCCTTCCCTCGCCGTAGTCAGACTAGAAGGATTTTATGTAATCCAGGTCACCACAAAATAGGGAAGTCGAATTTGCTGAAGCCAGGCTCCCTGCGTAGCTCCCAGTATGTGTTGTTGCTCACCCACGTGTCATCCTTAGACTTCCTACACACACACACAATTTAAGAGTCAATCACATAAGAATCAAACATCCGTATTTATTTATTCATTTATTTATTAACAGTAATCTGTCATTGCTCGTACACAGAGGAAATGTTGCAGATGGGGGGACTCTGATAAAAAAAACAAAAAACCAAAAAAAGCATTTGACCAAACAAGCCAACAGCAGCCTACTTGAAAAAGCGTGGCTGGTGGGACATGTTGTTTTCCTGCAGCACTTTCCTCCTCTCCCTCTGAAGCTGCTCTATCCTCTGTTTCTGCTCCTCGGCTCCGTCTACGTTGCCCTCCTCAAGCAGCCTGGAGGATAGATGCAGAGCAAGTCAGGATGGGGGACGGCTGGAGTTCCGCTCGTCTAACAATATGGGAGCAATATGCCCTCAACCTCTCGTTCTCACGAGAGAAAAAAAAACTGTTTACATGAAGCACTTCATCACTGTTAATCATGGCGAAAATGTTTATCAATATAAAAGATCGCTGCAGACATTTACAAATGAGAAAATGGCCTTCTTGTGTTTTCATCTCTCTGTTACCAAGGTAATGTCCAAATTCCTGTCTTCACACCACATGGGATAAACTAGACTTGGCCTGTACTTTTCATGTTTTATAAAAAAAATAGTTTGGGACCAAATGATTCAATCTGGCATCTTAAAATCAATCCAGTTCAACTGTAAACATTCACAGGGGAATAAAGAAAACAAACAGACAATGTTCTTAATGGAGAAAGACAGTTTCTTTAAAAAAGAAACATGTGAGCTTAGGGGTCATAACCTCTGGTCCGGCCTGAAGCGCGTGTCTGTGGCGGGCAGCAGCGATTTTAAGTTGGAGTCCAGCTCATTTAACTCTATTGCAAACTGGGTGAAGCCGTAGTACTGCTCTTGATCCACTGGCATCGAATCTGTTGGCACACACGCATTTATATATATATATTAGGAGAGCAATGCAATACTGTGTCAGTGAAGTGGAAAAAGTCAGAGCTATCATCCACTCACTTGCTCTCCAGATACATGTGGCAGAAGGCGGGTCCCCTTGAAACACTGACTCGTGCCATTTTCCAAAGATGGAGTGCACTACTTTTCCATTGGAGTCTGTAATGACACCCTCTATTTCGTTCACTGAAGAGCTCCATGACCTCGCCTGAACAGACAGTGTGGTGAGAAACGGTTATAAAGCAAAGAAGCACAGGAGCGACATAAACAAGCTAACATCCCGTCCTATGCAGTGTGATAGGAGCTGAAAAACTTCTGCCGGGAGACTGTCAACTACGGCCTAAAACTTTTCATTCAAAGGAGTGAGAAATGCCCCCCTTTTTCCTTCGCTTGCATTTTTTTTTAAATGCAGTTCTTTCCTTGTCCACTAGAGGGTTCCCTTTGTTTAAGCAGGAGAATTTGAGCAAAAACAAGTGTTCCAAACATGATTAAAGACAATCTGCTCAGAGTTGTGAAGCCAAAATTCCTCTTGGACTATTTTCACCGAGAGAAGTATGAATGTGAGAAATGGAGCCAGAAGTGTAAGAATATATTTGTATGCTTGTCTCTACAGGGCAAGAATTTCGGTTTTCTTTCCCCTCCAAAATTTGGTGTTCACAGATTAAGCACAAAAACTCCTTTAAAAAAAATTAAAAAATAAAGAGCTGGGTTTGCTCACCTTGATAAACGTTATTTTACACTGACAAACATCACTGTTGATATTCTTGATGGCCATCTCTCCGTAGTGCTCGATCCATCGTTGGCCGCTGAGGATGTTGTGGATGCAGGATGTCACTTTGTTCCACTCGTAGTGGTCCCCGAAGCTGGAAGAACCGCACACGTAGTTCGTTTACTGTGTGTGAAGTGCTGCTCGATTCGTTTTCTTTAGCACGTGCAGCCTTTATTGTGCACAATCAATAAGTTCAATCTACACACTGGTGGACGCATCGACACGCGCACAAAGAAGGGAAACACCTACGCAGGTAGTGTGACATGTGTGGTTCCTATGGGAACTATTTCCATGGATTTTCCCCAGAATTTGTTTTTCCATCGTACATCTGAGAAGACAAATGAAATGACAGGTGACTCACTGTAACAACAAAGACTAATTATCTTAATTTAAATCCTCGAGGCTGTTCATCAGAAGCCCTCAACCACAGCAGCGCTTTCCATGAGTCTTCATCATCCCCCTCCACACAGAGAAATGAACAAGCAACAGATTCCAGTTTCTTTGGCAACTGCTGTCCGTTAGGTTGTGATTAAAGTTTTTTTGAATGTCCAGACCTAACAAATTAGGTCACATTCTATCCCTTAATTTGTTATAATCTGTAAATATTAAGCACAGGGACAAACGGGCTCCAGTTTTCACCTTGGGTAGAATTTGGGAAACGAAAAAAAATGGAACAGCCATGATGTCATCTGAAAGTAAGCCACAACAGACCGAGGACACTGGATGTTTATTCCAAACCGGCTTCTCACCTTGCCAGAAGCTGAAGTTCCTCGAATCCGACTGGCACGCTGAAACAGGGGGGTGATGACTCACCTGGTTTTTGGAGAAATTGTTGATAAGATGCTTTTTTAAAGATTTCCTGTGTTCAATAGTCTATATGAACAAGTTTTTCTGAGAGCTAACATCTGCTACTTTTCACCAGCTAAAACTAACTGCAGAAATACTTTTTCTGAGTTTGAAAACAAGACAACCATTGGACAAGACCACAGCTCATTTACTTCTGTCTTCTTCGTGAGAAAACGCTTGAATAGTTCAGCACCTGAAGGGGGCGCTGCGATTCCAATGCATCATTTACATCAATAAAAACATATGAAAGCCTAACGTAACAGTTTGTTCCACAGATACAAAAAAGTGGATGATTAGCAAGACAACCTGACTGATCAGACTAAAAACATTTTGTCGCAGTATAAAAATTACCATGTGTGTAGTGAGCTGAATAAGAGCTCGCTCCTGTGATGGGCTTTTACCCTTATTCAGAGTACTGTGCATATTGTGCAACCCCTACCTGCTCCGCTATAAACCTGAAGCCCTTATCAGGTCGGTCACACTCGAAAGTCTCTCCGAGGACGGGATTAAAGGGTTTGCTTCCCGCTCGATGGTAGGTGGACGCATAGGCAGTTATTGCAAATGTGGCGACGTACACCTGAGTGGGAAAAGAGCAGAGACTTGAATGCACCCTCAGGATTGGTACGTGTGTGTTTGTGTGTGTGTGAGTGGCACTTTGTGTTCAGGTCTGTGTTGTGCTGTTTTCACATTTCCTCTACAGAGACTGTGTCGCCTGTAGCTGCGAAATGAGACGACTGACTCCATTTGTGGTGTGGATGAATGTGACTGTTAGCTGGTAACCGGTGTGGCCCTTCGACAATAAGCATGTGTCCAACAGCGAAGGGAAGATAATCTACTGAAAGCATCCCTCTGCAAACCGTGGGATATTATGAGACCACATGAGCGCGCAGAGCAGAGGACAAACATCATAATAATCTAAAAGCTGACGGGGAACGAGCTGAAAACAGTCTGCTTGTATCGGCATCTTTGCTTTTCCAATATCTGGCTCAACATACATGCGTTTGTCAACCAAAAAAAAAACAACAAGTTAATCTCTGCAACATCTGTTCAGCCATTTGTGTGAAAAGTGTGTCAGAAAGCCTTAAATGTGCTCACCATGCGCTGGTAGGGGTCCTCCGTCTGGTTGGCGGTGTCCAGTAGGTCGCTGTACTCCAGCTCCTCACACAGCCTCTGCAGGGTGTTGATGGGCTCGTTGAGCTGCACGGGCATGGCCACTTTGGACAGGTCCTTACCGATGTTGTTTCTCAGGATGTTCCACAGGCTTATGCTGCTGGAGGGGCAGGGGGCCGGCAGTTTGGAGCGCCGGCGGGGCTGGCTCACCACACTGCTCACTGAGGAAAAAATAAATAAATAAAGATGTCAGACATGTTACCACCCTGGCTAAACGAATACAGAGGAAACCCGTCTTTGCGTTTCTGCAGCTCCTCCCTTTCACGCTTCCACAGGTGGTGCCGTCTGAGGTGAAAATTAAAACCTAACATCGTCTGCTGTAGTGAAATTATAATGCTCACAGATTGTCCCTCACATGGCACCAAGTTTGCAAACACGTCTGGAAGTCGGCAACGCTCGTTCACTTTCAACGCGTCCAGGGAAAGCGAACCATTTCCCCAATCTGAGACACTGAATTTATTTCATACTAACAGTGTGAAGTACTCATAGAGGCTGAGTTACAGTCACTCGAATGGAGACAGACCATCCCTAAAACGGCTTCTTACATCATTCATTGAAGGGATTAGTGTGACGTCTCTCTCTCACTCACACACACACACACACACACAACACTACTGGTAACTATATCGTGTACCGGAGTTGTGTCTCTCGCTGCCTCCGTCGTACGTGTCCATGGAGATGCTGTCACTGACATCACTGATATACGAGTCATCGTCCGACACCTGCAGACAGAAAAAAAAAAAAGAAGAAAAAATCAAGGAGGAGCGGTCAGCAGGCCTTTAGAATGTGAATAAACATACACATCTGTGGAGTTCTCAATCAGATGAGAGGGAGAAAAACCAACCCTTTAAAGTGTACTTTTCAGTGTTATGGTTTTGTCCTGTCTTTAACAAGCCATTCTGCTTCATTTCGCTCTCTTAAAATGTTTCCAACAAAAGACAGGCAGTTTCATTCTTTTGTTGTTCATCTTCTGCACGACCCATTTACGGTCTGTACAGCAAAAAATCTCCCGACATACTCACATCATCACTTATGTGGTCATGACTCAAATTCTAACTTTCAGTTTTGAGTCCATTTTTTCCTCACTTTCACTCATTTTACTAGCCATTGTTTACAAAGGTGTAACGGATGGCAATCACAGGCAGAGTGATACACTGATACCAACAGAGTGGTTGTTGATCATAAGCGATATGCAACACATATTCTTTGCCTTGTTTTAACATCATTTAAAGTCGTCTGCTTATTTCTGTCAGCGGCTCTGGGAACAGCGGCAACATCAGCAGAGCCGGTGCAGAACAGGAAGGCTGTGGTAAAACATAGGCATGCTTTAGGGCTGAGGGAAGATACTCGAGTAATGTCAGTTCTTTTTAAAAAATGCTTTTAAATAAAGAATTTCATGTGGATGGTGGTGTGGGAGGATGTAAGCAGGCGTGACATGTTAATCAAACCATTCTTTAATGTGTTAAAGAGAGCGATGACCTAAAGGGTGTAAGAAGTGCCACTAATTGTATACCTGTCTTTACAGGCAGCTTTCCATTGTATTTAATAGTTTCATTTAATTTACATTTTCCAAAGAATAATTGATCACATTCGTGAAGCTGCCAATTGTACCAGTGCCAGTAAGTAATAGTCCCTAAAAACATAAAGCGGAAAAATGTACTCATAAAAAATGTTAATAAATAAAAAATGAATAGTCAAACCAGTCCGAAACATGTGTATGAACACACTATCAGATTGTTGAACGAAGTTTTTGAACCACAAAGTTGATGCAGCAGATGTCAGCCCACCTCATTTTCAGATGAAGAAGAGGAGAGGAGGTACTCCTGAGCATCAAAGAACTCCAACATGGACTCCGGAATGGACGCTTTGCTCTCGTTAGAGACCTGGTGGACCAGCGAGTGGGGTGAGCCGGCACACTCCTGAGTGAAGACATGAATTCACAGAAATCAGACACATGTTGGGCGGAGCCACGAGCTCTAACTGACGACACCACTCACTGAGGAGTAGCCAGCCTTCAGGCCCATAACCTGAGCCGGCTGGGGGGCCTGCAGGTCAATGGTGTGCTTTAGTCTGTCTCTCTCTGCCACCAGTGAACTGTACGCTGTTTTTAGTGAAACGTGGACTACAGAAAATCAAACACCGGGTAGAAAAAAAAGAAAGGGGCAAAATTAGACTCAGAGTTGTCATGGAAACTATGTTGGCATATAGTAGCTGACACACAAAAAGAAAAAGCTTTTCTTCTCTCCACAGTGAATAAACACTCAAAAGAAAAGTCACAGAAAAACCCCTGCATGAACTCACTGTTGTTGGCCAGCCGGCAGAAGTCCTCCTGTAGACGGGACACGTTTGTAGGCGAGTCGGGGGATTCAGGACAGACCTCCTGGGCTGCTGACTCTGTGGTGGAGAGGTTGGGATTGGAGGCGTGTAGGCGGGGGGACTGTGAGGAGATGCAGCTTGGAACCTGGTGTTCGAAGGAAGGAGGGCAAACCAATCATTTTCCCCATCGACCCACTTTTAATGCTGTGCAGTGAGCAGAAGAAGGAGAAGAGAAGGTGGACATGTACCTGTAGTGTGCTTTTGGTTTCTTTGCCGTTGTTTTTGGATCGCCATCTCCGTGGCCTCTTCTCTTTCTTTGGGATGTCATAAGTAGATGCCTGCGGTGGTGGAAGCACAAATAAAAAACGGTTCACATCTAAACCACTACCCTTGTTCTTACATTTCATAATTCATTTGTTTTTTGTTGCTGTTTTTTTTCCATCATCTGTTGCTTTTCAGTATTCACCCGAAAAAGGCAAAGACAAAGAGCACCCTGTCACTTAAACAAATGTGTCTGAGCTTACTTGTAGTGCACTGATGGCTGGGGCAGAATAGGTGCGGTGCATGACCTCCATGCTCTTCAGCAGCAGGTTGAGTTCCATCAGATAAGCCTCGCATTCCTCCAACTCTGAAGGAAAAACAGATTATCAGTATACCGGAGTGCAGGTGCGTGCAGGGTCCATGACGAGGGGGTTAAAATGAAGCATGAAATAGTAAAGAGGCCCGCGCTGACAGTGAAGAGAGAGAAGTGGAGGGCCCGGCGATCAGTGGCCCACCTTTGGAGCACTTGTTCATGTCCTCGGAGGAGTGCAGCCAGGAGCTGACTTTTGCCTGGTGGACTGACGCCTGCTTGGTGAGGGTTGACCTCTGAGTTTGAAGAAAGCACACAGAAATTAATGTTAAGCAAACAAGCTTTGCAGCACCTCCCACCAAAAAAAACCTCCTACCAAAAAAAACAAACAAACTTCTATAACTTACTTTTCTAAGCGAGTCGCTAAAGGGGGGAGAGGAGGAGGAATGGGGATGGAAGAGGTGCCTCTCATGGGGATACATCGCAATTTCATTCTGCCGAAACACCCGGTGGTGGCGCAGCTTTGACACCCACTCCTCGAACAGCTCTGGGGACTTCACCTGGGAGCCATTACAGTGAATGAGAACGAGCACGCCGTTGAGAGCCTTTTTTATCAAACAGGCGGAGGAAATGAAACAAAATGCCTGCAGACAGGGAGGCCCTTATTTGTCTGTGTATGGCTGGGGAAAAGGCTCCGGAGTTACCTTTAGGTGATAAAGGTTGTCCTCGGTGTCCAGGTCGATACACATGGCTTTCTTCTTGATTGACATGACGGAGAGGCCGACATCTATGCAGCCATGAATCTTGCCCTTCTGCAACTGTGGAAGGACAGTGTGTTTGGTGTTAGCGTTTAGTCTGTGTGTGTGTGTGTGTGCAGCGCTGTGACGGACAGATGCTCATCGGCCAATGCTTACGTCACTTCCACGCTTTGCATACTTCAGGATTCCTCTCTCCAACGCAAAGTATCTCTAAGTGCAAAGAAAAGACAAAAATCAGCAGTCAGTAATCTTTTGGACAGCACAGAGAGCACTGAAGAACACTTTGGGTTTCACGGCAGCGGCGGTGAAATAAGTGACCGGTGGTGAGACAGGTTTTAATGTCGGAGGTAAAGAAAGAACCGGGCCCTTTATCAGCCGAAATGTCGAGTGCTAAAGAGGTAGTTTTATCGTGTTGCAGGGCAGAATTTTGTAGGTATGCATGAGCACACTCGCAGGGAGGCAAGGGGGCGGAAGATGAGTCAGGGTTACAAATTTATTCAGCTGGGGATGAAAGAAACTAATTTAAAAGAAAGGTCTAAACAGAAAAGGGAAAAAAGTGTGCTTGAGCCCGTGAAAAGATGACATGACCACGTTTTCTCTTTGACACCGTCTGTGGCGAGCGTTTGGACTTCTGCCTCCGTCTGCAGGTATAGGACAACTGGTGGGGGGCTCACCTTATGCCAGCCCTTCATAGGCCACTTCCTCCTCTTGAGCACAAAGCCCTCCTGTCTGTCAGGCTCTTGCATACTGGCAGGAACCCCCCTGAGCCCCTCCACGATCTCCCAGCTATCCTGAAGGGGAGACAGTAACACCGTAGCATGAGCGAGGCAGACGCGCGGAATACCATTTCCCTTCAACAGACTGGAGGTATTTGAACCTGTGGTTTGAGGAAGCAGCCGTTGCATAGTTTGACCTGTCCAGATTTAGTTATTAATGGTATTTCTCACAGAGCAAACACAGGCACTGCAATAATGTTGACCTTCTTCACAGCCCACAGGGGTACCATGGAGCATTCACATTAAGCAAATTGGAGGCGAGCTGTCATCAAGCAGGCGGTAAACAGGCGGTAAAACGACGGCGGGTGGCTCGCCACGCACACCTACCTGGTTGCTGTCATGCTTGGAGGAGCCACTGCTGTCACTGTGAGTCGGCGAGGGTGATGTCATCTTGGTGCGACCTGAACGTCTTTCTCCAAAGTGTTCCTCTTGTTGCCGTGGGAACCGTGGCCGTCGAGATCACAGCAGAGCCACTGGGAGCATCACCCTGACCTTTGAAGGCCACGCCGACAGTCAGCACTGCCGGGAAAGGTCACGGTGAAATGATTCAGGGGCAGCGCGGAGAGATTTAAAAGAGAACAGCAGCCGCGCGCATCGGGACCAGCAGGGGAATCTTTTACTCACGTTGTGTGTGTGAGCAAATGTAAAATTCCCAGAGGCTCATGTGAGCTCAGTTTTAGGGAAGCTCAACAAAAATACCCAGACCACAATCCTAATCAGAATCATGAGCTCTCACACACACACTAACACACAACACCAGGCATTAAGAAGCTCGTCTTTCCGTGCACTGTTTTGATTAATGTGAGCTAAATTCATGCAAGAGCTCAAAGAAATGCTTCACAGTCAATATTTATGGCCCCGGCGGTACCAAACAAGGACAATGATCAAAGGCAGGGAAGCAGAACCTTTGATCTTTTTTTTATTTTTATGGATGAATCAGTGATACAGCAAAAAGCAATCTACCTGGAATTACAATATCAAACAATTGAAAACCGATTTTAAAAAAAGCCATTAAAAACCTGATGACTCCAAAGGTTAGCAATGCAAAAGTTGGATCTTGTAAAGTCAAACTGCCCATCACTAATTACAAAGATCACATGAGTCTATAATGATAAGATCAGGCAGGGGAAAATGTTTTAAAATCACGTTCTTTATCTGCAAGTCATATACTGTTACGTCCTTTATGGGTTTTGGTGCATAAACGACATTATATACTCCACAAATTGCATCGACAGAGTTTTCAGACCAATTCTCAGTTCAGGCTGTTCAGTTTGATATTTTCTAGATAGTTTTTAAGTCTTTTTTAGTATCTGTTAAATGAACTTTAATTGAAATGAGAGAGCAACCCCTTGAAGTTAATTTACTACAATCTTACATTTCACAGTCATCTACAGAGTGGACTTGATTCACTCCAGCAGCTGACTCATTTAGGAAATTCAGCTCCCTGCTGGCACATTTCCAGCAGGAGTTTCCAACGTTCTACCGTAAACGGCTGGAATACTGCCCCGACAGCTGTCCCTCTGAAAGGCTCTGATCTCCACAAAGGAACTCCAGGATTTCATTAGGAGACCACTTGCTTATTTCCCTCCCCAGATCTGTGCTTTTCATTTTCAGCAAAATAATAGAAAGAGGCCCTGATTTTCATTCTTGATACACTCCGCCTACCCAGATGCCCGATGTTGACCAGTTAATGCCCAACTGGACTTGGCACATGCGGGCACCAGAAATACTACAGTGGAGCGCCTTCACAGCAAACCGAATGACGTAGGACGCTGCAGAGCTTAAATACAAACAAAGCATTTTAAGCTTAAATGTGATATTTGGGCCTTCGTTTTTGTGGAGCACTTAAAAGGGTCTCTGCTGTAAGGAAGCTCTGATGCCTGTGAGTATTGAACAGGATTCAGGGAACATCCAACCCATGCTGTGATGTAATATTCATTCTTTTCCTTCCAAGAAATGACACAACCTGCCCCAACCTGACTTTGTATGCTATGCCTCTATGTGAGCTGTAACCCCCATCACCCAGTTTCCTGACTCTGCCTAGTATCTGTGGTGATGTGGAAGTGTACAGAAATATGAGTGGGTATATCCCTGTCTGGGGGGGGGGAGCTTTGTGTTAGTTTTGTGTGGGCTCGCATGGATGCAAATGTGTGTAAACTTCTGGTTTACAATGCGTTTTGCGAGCTACAATCTCTGCAAGCACTGAGGGTTTAAATGAGTGTTTTCTGAAATTCCCCAAAGCCTCGCTTACTGTCGGCACGGGGTTCAGGACGTGAGTCATCGAGAGGAAAGAATGTGTTCCGTGCCTCGATACCTCCAACACAGCACAACACCAGGCTAGCTACCGTCAACACTGGGCTAAAAGCAGACTGAAGCACACGGACGGCCCACTTACTCCCCAGCTCAGGAGCGCAGGCTAGAAGGACAGACAACAAATTTGAGTAGGCTTCAAATGATTAACTTAGGGAGCTCGATTTAGCTCGTCAAGCTGTTCCGTTCACACTTGTCAGGCTGCGACTCGCCTGCTGTCTTTAGCTGTATCTCAAGATTTTTGGACATAAATTATGTCACATGCCACATCAGCATATAACAGCTGTGTGAGTGCACTTTTTTTTCTTCTTTTTTAATAAAGGAAAAAACAACTGTGTACAAACTCCATAAAAACTTCCTTAAAAGCCTGTGATAAACGTTTTGTGTAAACCCTGCACTGAACCATCAGCCACAGATAAACTGTGAATGAAGTTGGGACACGAGTGCCTGAACATCCCACTGTGTGCCCTACTTACGGTAGGTTATCTCCACCGAGTGAAGGGCAGCACACCGCCAGGCTTTCTGCAGAGTAAGCCTGGAGAAGCCTGCGCTTTCTGCCTGGAGCCTGACATAACACGAGTCAATCATTGATTCCATGACACCTTGTAAACGACTGGTTAAATGACCCAATTGAGGGCAATGTTGTTTTTTTCCCGCAACGACTACAAAATTTCTCCGACCGGCTAACGGGAAGGAAGAGAGACTACGGATTGGAACTGCCCAATACAAACCATAGTAACATTTAGCAGAAAGATCACCACACAGTTCAGTCACCAACCATTAAAAGAAAAGGGGTATATCTTGGTATATTCTGTTTATTGTAGTTTCCCTTGTAGTGTACAAAAAGTACCCATGAGGCCCTGAAATGTCAGCACTTTTCCCCTTTCATTTCTCTTGTGTACGTGGATGTACACAAAGAAAGAAACAACATTTTTTTCTGTGCTGGGGTCACTGCCAGCGCTCTTTAAAAGGCCATGAAGTGGTCACGTGACAGCATCCTTTGATGTGCAAAGACACACAAACACTATGAATGCAAATGAACCCCGGAAATGAAACCTAACCAGCGGCACGCATTCAGGAGTTGACCACAGGCGGAACCTATTCCACATATTTTCTTCAGAAAGCAAAGCTTAAGACTTATTGTCTGACAGTTTCGGACTAATGCCTCAGGCTGGAGTTTCCGGTCCCGGCATGTACAAAACAAACAAACAAAAAATAACATGGCTGACATAGCTGCCACACAAACTTTCTAACACATTCTTGGAATAGCAGGAGAGCCATTAGCCAAACAGTCCACATAGTTCTATGTCATCTCTATTACTGGCCTACTGATTGCAAAAGGTCATAGATTAGAGGATTATCATGTCATAAGTGTGGATGATCCACTGATCATCAGAAAGCTTTAAAAGATGCTTTTAATGGACTCACATCTGGTAATATCTATTTATACATCAAAACAGAGCAGAGCGGCAGATGAGTGGCAGCATACGTTTGACAGCAGCAGCTCTTATTTTATCTGGCCTCTGACTTCTACTCTGAGTTTACGGCTCTGGGGACTGGCTGTGTTTTCGCTGTTCAAACGTGTCTCGTGGAACAGAAAGATAGCGTCCGTGTTTCCTGCCAGCAATCAGAGAGAAACTAATGCGGCTACCAGCGAGTGATCAAAGAGGTACAAACAGCCCCAGCGTGCCGCTTAGCAGTCAGCTATTTCAGTTCGCGCTCAGAGGGAGGCAGAAAGAGAACAGGCCACCAAAACTGCCTGTCCTCGGATCCCTGACTATCAACTTTTTGACAGGTCGCATGACTAAATAAATGTGTGTGTACTAAAAAATAGTTATTTTTGTAATTTATAAAAGCGACGATCAACTTGAAATTATTCTTAGTACCTGCATCACAGAAGCTTGGTTTCACAGTCTCTGTACTGGGTGGCTTAAATGGAAGTAGGGCACAACATCCCATCCCCTCATTGGAGCACAGGCAGGCTATTCGCAGGTCCACCGCTTGGCGCATTAGTCAAGTAGGAGTGCTCTGTGTTTTCCCAGCTTTTCAGTGGGTGTTGTGGAAAAGAAAGTGACACAGAGATAACTCAGTGAGTCACTTCGGCCACGCTGGACATTTATACTTAGGAATGCTACTGTAGGAAACAAGAACGAAAAATAAAAGCAACTTGGCTGGACTGCGATCAGCTGATTAACAGACTTTAAACTGACCCCTGTCGTGCAATCCGCCTTTAGCCTGAGATAATGATAACATTGGCCCTGAACAGAGTCGCCTAAAGAAGGAAGTGCTCTTGCTCATGTACACTTCAAAAGGACAGATGCTATAATGCTCAACAACTGCTCTAAGTGCACAAAAAAAGCAGCAGCTAGGCACTGGGACTACTTGTGTGGAGCTATTTTAATGGGAAAATTAGGTGGTTTCATAACCTAGATGACTCAGTCACAGGATTAAATTGATATGATACTCTTCCGTGCATTAGGGTAATCAATGTCAAGTCAGTTAAATGGTTTTCATTTCTGTGTTTACAGTCTGTTATACTGGTTTGAGGTCACAGAGCCCATTCAATTATTTATAAATTTACCTAGTAAATTTACATATCAGATCCACCATACCTGCCCCTAACCACTTTGAATATTATGAGGTGGATGACTATGTCTCCTTTGGAAACTAAAACTCACCGGGTTGAGTTTCCCTTAAGCACTTTGCTCACTGCCGCACAGGCTCAACCTGCGTGTTACTGGCAACAAACTTTGTTTTTGTACAAACAATAGTGTTCTTAAGGGTGAGGTGTTCCTCCAGGAAGCTTGAATCCAGACAAAATTATGCACCAGCAGTCACAAGTCTTTCAAGGAAGTCAAGAATCCTTTTTTGTTTTCCTTTGTTAACCTGAAAGAACCTAAAATAATCTAAAATACTGAAGAGTAGCAGAGAGAATTGGCAGGCATGTGGTTTCACAGATTACCATCATCATCAACAATCTGCTTGTTACTTTCTCAGTAAACAGATTAATCATTGGAGATCTAGAATATCCTCCTGTTATTTTTCCTGCCGCAGCTTTTAGCAGCTACAATGTAAACAAACAAAAAGAGAAGACAGAAAAGCTGGGGAATCGGGACAAAAAAAAAAATCAGAGCTTTCTCAAAACTATCTTTAAGATTTGACCTTTTTTTTTTAAATATATAAATCAAATAAGATCGCTGATTGTAACACACCATAAGCCTTTGAACAAAAACTGTGCCAGTCCCCTTAACACATCCGACCTCAGTGGGATTGCATTCCCGGACAGACTACACAGACTATGGAGTCCACTTATGCTCTGATATTACATTTGTTTAGAAACCAAAAGAAAAAAAACAACAGCCAGCAGTTTTGTTTACATACCGCCTCCGTGCTGGGCAGGCAGCGTGCAGGCTATCAGTGAAATTCACGGTGATAGTGAAGCCATCACTGCTCATGCATAACGTGACCTTGTCTGGGCGAAGAGGTGCTGATGCCCTGTATCGATTTACAGTTCAATGACAAAAGCAGCGGGGAGGAGATTATTTCATGATTAATGGCAGCTCTGAATCGTTTACTGTTGAGTGCCTGAATACTCTAAAGCCAATTCATCCTTTTCCAGCCCCCTGAATATATATACATTTACATAGAGACAGAGAGATACTGTGACGAGTACCCAAAACGCCACTAATTAGACGGGTCCCTTGAAAAATCAGGCCTGACTAAGAAGACATCACCAATTTAGTCAAAAGCACACAAGATTTGACAAAAGCATACAGATAAAAATAAAAAATTGAAATTACACCGACGTTGTGTCAAACACTGCCATTAGGGGTTGTTGAGTTAAATATTCATGAACAGGAACAAACTCCTCGGTGAGCCACCACAGGTGGCCCCGCTCAGACGGTTCCTGCTGCCTACAGACCGCACAGCCACTCAAACTTGTCAGCGTTGGTTAAATGTCTAATTGACTCCGTTTCTGTCTCGGGAAAGCAAGGATAAAGCCCAAAACATAGCAATTCCTGTCTATAAGGCAGACTCCAAAACGCTTACCGTGCACAAAATGTCCCGGGGCCCATTAATAATTCTATCGAAAGCTAATTTTCAGTAGAGCTGTTGGACGACAGACAGACGCCGCGAGCGCTGTCAAGTCTGCCGCTCAATTCAAAACGGAAGCGACGCTACGACGGCCAAAACACGCGGCGACTTTACCTACGAGTTGTGCGTGTTGAAAAGAAGGGGAATCTTACGGTTTTCTGGCGAGAGCTACTGCATCCTTCCCCCGCCCGCGGAACGACTCGGCACCGTGGGTTCGGACTGCTCCTCGTTTCAAAAGCCGAGCAGAGCGTCGTGGAAGGGGAGGGGTTTGCTTGAGCGGCAGGTATGAGTGACGCCCCTCTGAGCCAATCAGAATCACGGATGATTGATGGAGGCGGGGATTGGGAAGTGGGTGGGCACCTTCTTCTTAAAATGGCCTTGAAGTGACGTAGATAGAATATGAGGAAGCAGGACAATCAATCCAGGTGAGAGTTTAACGTCAAGCCGCAGGTAGTTGGGTGAGTCCTTGTGAAAATGATGACGCACAAGTCATGTGAATATACACACAGTAAACCATTATTAGTGTCTGTGTATACAGCAAGCCTCTCAACCTCAGAGATAACAGCCTTGCATGTTTTACATTCCCCAAATTCAACCTGCTTTAGGTAGCTAAGGGGGATTTTTACCTGTAACCACAAATAACTGAACCACTAAACCTGAATGAATCAGTCTATTAAATCTTGAGAATATATTTTCTATCAATAAACACACGTGGACAGAGTAGAAGCTGTACAGATTCACAGCTCTTCATTATCTTTCTGTTAGTTTTTGCCAAAAAAAACACTGCTGATGGCCCTGGGACATACTGTCTGGTGAATATCGCCAGACATTTTGGCTGCAAAAGATGGCTTTTCCTGCGAACGCTGATTAAACGGTGAGTAAGTTGGAGAAGTTGCGCGATTGCACCTTGATGGCATGACAAAGCAGGAGGGCAACTCGGTGCGTGTCCTTGCGTAATCCACCATGTTTCCCCCTGAAGAGTTGCTCGTACTCCTAGATTTGTTGATCCAACAAAACAAATGCGCTCCTTTGCATGGGCATGAGGCAGACTTCCTGGCTGGGTTTATTTCTATGGCAACGGCGGGATGGAAAAACACAGAGAAAGAGGAGGGGTGGCATGGAGGGGATCTTTGAAAAGCAGTGTAAGAGGGCTGGGTGTGTCCACGAACTGGATTGTTTGGTGTAAAAAGGAATGTAAACCTCCCTACGAGGTGCATGCTGTTTGAATCAGAGTAACATGGACTCACAAAGGCTGTTTAAATTGCATGTGTCACTTGATTTTCCTTGAAGCTTGAATGGATTCCACTGCAGCCTATTCACCTAAGGAGTGCACATTCTTAGCCACAATGGGTCACACCCTTGCGCAGTGTGTAACCAACAAACCGCACACAGCGATGCATTAAGTGTCACAGAAAATGTTCCAGATCTTTCCTGATTCTGACTCAAAAAAGAGTCATACAAGTTTGGTTTGACTCTTTCTAAATGCTGGGATAGCCGAAAAGCGTGACGATACAGGCTTAAACATTAGACCTGAAGTTATTTACGGCACTTATCACCTCTCCGGCCACATAAAGGACACGGAGAGAGGAGCGAGACGTGCGCATGCATGCTGTGCGAGCCTTTTGTGTATTGCAGTGTCATCTGTAGGTTCGCTTTGGTTACTGCACACAGAGAGGGCTGTATTCAGACGGGAAGCCAGGAATGCCTGCGCTGCTTACACTCCACACAAAGGCCTGCCATTTACCCGGTAACAGCACGACCAGTGTGCAATCTCAGTAGAAGTGTCGAGGGGGGGCCGAGCAGGCAGGCAACGCCCTTTAACTTAGAGACTTCTGTGTTCTGGGGCTTGATTAGATTTTTTGACCACCGTCTGGTTTTTGTACGGGACCCCAATCTGCTGCAGGAAGCTTGGGACACTGTTTCAAATGTAAAATACGAAATCAAAACTGTCAATGTTTTGCAATCAATTTAAACTACGGTCAATCTACAATAAACAAAATGTAAGAAAACTTTGAAAGGACGTTGTTAGCCTAATTCTTTAGTTGGAGACCTGAAAATAAACTAGAGTAGATCTAGAGTAAAAAATTGACATTTATTAGGTCACAGGCAAAGTATATCCGCACTGGGCTCTTCACAGACAAAAACACCTCTCTCCAAGGATTTCAGTTGGCAAGAGTCCCGAACTCCGTGTGTGATGGATATTTGTCTTCTGGGCTGGGCACACACCTCAAAAGGACTGGACACTACTGAATGTTAATTGGCCGGTTACTTACTAACCCTAACCCTGACATGAACCGGCCAGGTCCTAATTAATGCAGGTAACCTTGAAATGTGGTAACAAAGTTTGTGTGTATGGTTGACCTTATGACATGCGTCTAATGTAACAGAGAGAGAAAAAGATAATTTGTGGTAAGACAATCTCTAATTAACATAGATCATGTTATAGCATACTATGCTAAAGTGAGTAGTTATAATAAAATTCTAACGTTGCATTTCGTGCAGGGTGCTGGTTTGCTCGTGTTTGGGATGTCACAAAAGTTTAGTTCAGTTAAGCCTTCACCAAACACAAGCGCCTCTGATCTCTGCCTTTGCAAAAGCGCGGCTCCAGGGGGCGACGTTGCACGCACGCCGGACGGCGTGGAGGCTCCTCCATCCAGCTGCAGATCAGATGTCTCTCCCCAAATTACCGACGGGCCGCTTTGTCCTAATGACTCGCAAAGCCACATTTTTCTGTTCCTCTCGTTGGCGACCCGTGCTGCGTCGTGTGCTAATCCAGAGATCACGTCCACATGTGTGTTTTAGGTGTGTGTTTGTGTGTGTTCTTTTTTGTAGCCGGCTTTGATCTTTTCGCGTGTGCATGCGGCTCTCTCTGTGTTTCCAGGGTCTGGGTTCTTAGCTGTTATCTTGTATGCAGCTCAGTGGGCCTAACATCTCAGGGCACTGCGCTGTGTTTGTGTCGTTATGTGATCGAGGGCTGATTAGGGGTGTGCAGACAGTTCCTATCAGACTTACCAGATCAAAGCCTTTGCCACTCACACACACCATCCTTTTCACTACCCCACTCTTTGCCGTGCACCCCCCCTCTCCTCTCTCTCTCTCCAGACTTTCAACAGGGCAATATGGCGTGCTCTGTAATTTTTTCCAGATGCCGAGTGCCCCCCCCCCTTTCTCCCTTAGCCTGCCTCTCTCCTTAACGCTCCCGGGGTTTAGTCAAACCGTGAAGGTCCCCCCCCCCGCCTTTTCCATCCCTCCACTGCCCCTCCCCAGCTTGTTCAACACTCTGGCCTATATAACGAAAGGTGACCCCAGAAGGCCAGGCGTGCGGAGGTTGTAGCTTTCCCAAAGCGGCGAGGTTTCCCATGATGCCCGGCAAAAACCAGGGTCAGCTGACTTAGTCTCATTTGGATGATGTCATTTGTAGAAATTATGAGTAACTGACAGTAAGCAGAGGTCTCTTAGTGTCTTCTGTTGTTTCCGCCTGTGTCGGTCTCCTTTTCCCCCCGCCTGTGATGGGAACCAGCTGGGGTGGGGGGGGGGGGGGGGGGGCATGGGAATGTGGACGACTGCATGCATGGGGCCCAGGTGCTCCTCTCACTCTTCCTCCAACATTCCCGTTTCGGCGGATGTAAAACATCTTCTCATCTTCACACGCTCTGCTCAAAAGAGTATATTTTCCCCCCACTCTCTCTATCACTCTCTCTCTCTCTCTCTCTCCTTGTAATGGCAGAAACACACTCCGACATCCCCTCACACATCCAGACGTGCACTCCGTTAATGCGTCCTGAGAAGTGAATTGGTCCATGATCCCCCGCTCAGGCCGGAGTGCTTAATGATCACAGCAGCTGTTGCTCATGTAAACCCTCTTCACTCACTCACAGATTCCCACCTTCATAACCCCTTCTTTTCATACACTTTTGCTTTGCTCTCATAACCCGCTCTCTGTATGAATTTTAAAGCATCAATAATCCCAAAGAACACAGGGTATAAGGGTAAGTTTGAGGAGGCAAAGATATTTTTTTCTTCTGTTTTTCTCTTTAAAATTACACAGGGACGGTTCGCAGCCACGTGTGCTTTCCGGTCTTGCCAAATCCAGAGGCAGTCTGATTTATTTGAGCTGTTTCCTGTTGATTAGAGCGCTGCTGCGTTTCTAATATGAACTGCGTCCAGCGCAGCCGGTCCTGTTTGCAATTATCGAGATATGGTTTCGATATCGATTTGTTTCATGCAAAGATGCACATCGCGTTAGTTATGCCTCCAATCCAAGATCTGGTTTTGTAGTTTTGCGTCATGGACCAGGGTTAAAACCTCCAGACTGAGCTTCCTGAGGTGCTCCAGTGTGGATCTTGAGGAATGTGTTGGATATAGAGACTCTTCCCAACCAAATGTAACTCAAAGTATTGCAAATCCACCCATGTTTAACAGCTGAGGCGGGTTTTGTGTATTATTTTCGGTCATTCTTCTCCAAATGTACGTTTCCTCTTCAGTCAGTTATAATATTTTTAGTTGTTTTTGGCAGATATTCTCCTTTTCCTTTTTTTGGAAGTCTGGAAATGTACCATAGGAAAAAATCTGTAAAAGAATTAAAGGTTGATCTTTAACTTTAAACCTTTTGAAAAGCAGCTCAGTGACTAAAGTAACTCAGAGCAAAAACAAAAGACTTTCTATATATTTTTTGTTAGCCGCTGTGCTACCTGTCACAGCATGGTCAGATACAATGATGAATCCTCTTTTATTCTTTAGAAACATCACATACAATTAGCTCATTTACCATGAGTTCTCTTTGAAGGGAAGCTGTGAAAAAACTGCTCACAAAAGCAGGTCACAGGATGGTCAGATGCTTTGCTGCAAAAAATTAATAAACAATCCAAGCTGAGGTCATGCACTCATGAAATGAGTCATTAGAGTCGAGGCCAGAAGGACTGTTTCTCTTAAGTTTTATAAATTAGCCAACAAAACGGTTGGAAGTATTCATCAAACTTGAAGAGAATTCCAACATTTCACAACTAAAAGAGACCAACAGCTAGCAGAAACGGCAGATGATCATGAGTGTGATTGGATAAATGTTGAGATTTTCTGCACTGTGGTTTCTAGAAACATGACGTGAGAATGGTAGGCCAAAAGACGGTTTCCAGGTCACATTAGTTAGACACGCACAGGGAATATGTTTAGGTTGTACCGCTTTATGATGCTCTGTGTCCTCTGTAGCTGGACAAAGAAAACTCTGACCGGGAAACCTGGATTTGGGGGTAGTCTTGTGCTTATTTTAACTCCAGCACAACTCATTTCCTGTTGGTGAAAAATGTTTCTGGTTCCCCTTATACCTACTTGTTCCATGTTTTTGGCTCAATCAGCAGAAGTGCCCCGGTTGTTAGTGAACTGTGAAAATATTCCAAATCTACAAATTTCTGAATTTCTTAAAGATTTAATTGAAGATTTCTAGCCATGAGAGGCCCGATATGAACGGTCTTTGTTGCATGCAGGTGGGGTGACAGGCGGCTCCATCCAAGGCTCTTAAAAAGAACCATTTTGCACATCTCTGTGCATCTGGGTCATCTATACACACCTTTTTCTCTGGCCTTTTTTCTATTTGAGCCCTACATGTGGTGATATTGAAATGTGCGGCCACTTTAAAAAAAAAAAATGTATTTGTTCGTTAAAAGTTGTTCTCAAAGCCTAATAAACCTTTTGTGTATATCATTTCACTCTGAGACAGACCATTAAACGGGGGGGTACTGGTCCTGCTGTGTCCTCCTTTTTCGATGTGTGTGTTCCCTGAGACGAAGCCGAGACAGACGGGGATGCGAGAGGGGGGGTGGTGGAGTACAATGGAGACATGGTCAGACAGGAAATGACCTCCCAGAGAGAGAGAGAGAGAGAGAGAGAGAGAGAGGGGCTTCCCTGTGGGTTCTGTTTCCCTCTCTCACAGCACTATAGCTTCTGATGATGTCTGCCGACAGATATGCATGGGAATGAGTCCGGCTGGGGAATACAACGAGTTCCAAAGAGTCGTGCATAAGCTTTGGAAACCAATGTGTCACTTAAGAATGAAGAGTGCTAAAAAATCCATTTAAAACATGTTTTTTTTCTTCCTGCATGTGAAGTTTTCTTCTTAAGAGAGCAAATTGTGCATAATGTTTGTAACTTAATGCACGCATTTACCCACACGTTGAGAATATTTTCATATTTCTGACCACCTGACTGTCACAGACCAGTCCTGGCACGGCCTCAGGCTGGTTGACCCTCTTTTTCTTTTTTTTGCCAAACTATAAACGGTTGTTTTTTTATTCGTTATTATTACTCTAAAGAATCCGCAGGGTTCGTAGAGCGTTTTATGTTGGTATTTTGTGGCCTTTTGCTGTTGCAGGAACACTGGGCCGCGTGTCGGCCGTAAATGCGCAGATGTCTGGGCTGTTAAGTGCCTGCTTTGAGACTGAAATCTTTATGTATAGTGCGGATAATTATTCCTCAGTCTGCAAAAAAAAACTATGCTCTAAATGTTCACATGCCTCACTTACCCTGCTTTAGGACCCCCACCCCACTACCACATAGGGTCCTCTGAACTTTGAGCTCTTTAACTCAGATTTGGCACCATCAACCAAACAGTGCAACACACTTTTCTCCACAGTAAATTCCTCATCTGCAAATATGAAACATCTGTGCACCAAATGGCCCTCGACAACAGAAAAACACCAATTAATGAGAGATTCTGCCTCGTGCGTGAAGCGCGTGCTCCTCCAGCGCGGACATGTGGAGAGACAAACGCCCCCCATGCAGTGCTATTGTTTTAATTATTGTCACAACTTTCAGGGGCATCGTGAGCTTGAGAACTGGCTCCAAAATGCGCTCTACTTTGCTCCAGATTGACTTACCAAAAAAAAAGAAAGAGAGAGAGAAAGGAAAAAGACAGGGTTCCTCATGGGATTTTGCGGGAAGTATATCTTCCTGTCTGCTTTCTCCATACGAGGGTCAGATCCAGCTCTCTGACCCGATTGGCGGCCGCGTGGGCGCGCACAAAACTCGCTCCCGGGTTTTTTTTTTTTTTTTTCTCAGCCTCCGATTCGCTCGTGGAGACTCGCGAGCGTGCGCGTTTGATCACTCGAGCGCACAACAAGCACCAAGTTTTTAGATCGCGTGCGTCAAGTCGAGTGCACATCTGGTTCTGGCAGGGTCGTAGAGTTGTGGAGGAGGGACTTTCTGAGTGTGTGTGTGTGTGTGACAATTCTCAGCGTCTGAACTCTGTAATTCGCTTCAGATGACCACTTTTTTTGGGGGGGGGGATGGAGCTGTTATGTGGGAGGTGAGCACGTCTTCAGACCGCATTAGAGCGCACCGGACCGGAGTCGTTTGGTCCACAGATGCGGTTCCTTTACGCGTGAAGTCGTTTTTGGGGCCAGCGAGTGCGTAATGGAGGAAAGTGGCGACTGCACCTGAATGCCGCGTCGGACCGGGGATGGAGGCCAGCCGTTTCCTGGCGGGGATGTGCCTTCTCCTGTGGCTCCGCAGCGGGTCTTTTTCCTCTTTACCGGCGGAGGTTGACGTTTGTCCCGAACGCTGCGACTGCCAGCACGCGCGGCACCTCATGTGCGCAAACCGAGGGCTGCGCGCCGTGCCCGGAGCCTCGGCGCGCGTCTCCGACCACGCGCTGATCTTCAGCCTCGGGGGCAACTTCATCGGCAACATCTCCGGCCCGGATTTCTCGGGGTACGGCAACCTGGTCCGGTTGAATCTGCAGTACAATCAGATCGCGTTCGTTCACCCCGAATCCTTCGGGAAGCTGAGCAAACTGGAGGAGCTCTACCTGGGACACAACCTGTTAACGGCTCTACCGGCTGGAGCTTTGCAACCCTTGAAGAAATTGACCATCTTTTACGGGAATAACAACGCCATTAAGACGATCGGCCCGGAGCTCTTTTCCAACTCGGGGAAGCTCGTGAAATTGCGGCTGGACGGCAACGCGATAGAGGCCGTGCAGGACTCGGTTTTTGAGAACCTGACCAGCCTCCACTATCTTCACCTGGAGCACAACCAGGTGCTGCACGTCCACAGAAACGCCTTCCGCCGACTCGGCAATCTGCGCTTCCTGAACCTGGCCCACAACAAGCAGTCGGCGGTGGGGAACGTCCTGACCTTCTCCCACCTGGGGGCGCTGACCACCCTGCTGCTGTCCGACAACGAGATCCAGTACGTGGGCGGCCGCGTCTTCCGGCACCTGGGAAAGCTCCGGAAGCTCTCCCTCAGCAACAACAGGATCTCCCGCCTGGACGGCGAGGCCCTGAGCGGGCTGTCCAGCCTCGGGGAGCTCCTGGCGGACGGCAACCGGCTGACGGAGATCCCCGCCGGGCTGCTGGACCCCCTGGAGCGCGTGGAGGAGCTGGACTTCAGCCGCAACCGCATCTCCCGGGTGGACCCGGCGGCCTTCTCCGGGCTTGGGCGCCTCAGGGTGCTGAGGCTGAAGGACAACCTCCTGTCCAGCCTGTCCGGGGACATCTTCGCCAGGAACGGCGCGCTGCACGACCTGGATCTCCGCGGCAACAACTGGACGTGCGACTGCCGCCTGGAGGAGCTGAGGAGGTGGATGACCGCCGCGCGGTCCCGGGGCGGACTGCGGAGCGTTTCCGCGCAGTGCCGTCACCCGGCAACGCTCAGGGGGAGGAACCTGGACCACGTGAACGGCTCCCAGCTGCGAGCCCCCGGTGACCGCAGCCGGCCGTGCGAGACCGGAGCCGGACCGGCCGAGAGCCGCGGAGGGGGGGTGCTGGTCAGGGCGGAGAAAGGGAGAGGAGAGACGGACCTGGGAAACGAAAGGGGGAAAGCCGAGGAGGGCCCAGAGGAAACGGGCAACAGGAACAGAACGGAAGGGGGGAGAGGAGACGGTCCTGGACACGGGGGGAGGGATGGAGCAACGGAGAGGAGAGAGGGGGAGAAAAGGAGGAGAGAGGGGCCAGGAGAGGTGGGAGGAGGGTCAGAGGTGGAGGAACATCTGTCCATTCTGAAGGGGAAGAGACCAAAGGGGGAGTCGGGGGCTGCTGGGAGGCGTGGCAAAGGGAGACGCAGGTCAAAGGTCCTTTCCAAGTCCAGTCCATCGGCCACGCCCACACCGACCGTCGGGGTCAGGACGAGCTCTCCCGCCCACCCGGGGGGGACCTTTGACCTCCTGAGGGCGGAGGAGGAAGAGGACGAGGAATACTCTCTGCCCGTCATCACGGACCCTTGCGTGTTCAACCGCCATTTCATCGCCAACGTGTCGGTGGGCCAGGTGACGTCCAGCACGGTCACCGTCCACTGGAGCGTCAGGGGTCACCGCCCCCGCCCGCCGGTCCACTACCGGGTCCTGTTCGACCGCTTCGGCACGCCGGAGCGCTTCCCCCTCTACGTGTACACCGCCGCCGCCGCCCGCGCCGTCACCCTCCGGGAGCTCCGCCCCGCCGCGACCTACGTGGTGTGCGTGGAGGGGGCGGTGGGCGGGGCGGTGTGTCCGGTGGCGCCCCGGGACCACTGCGCCGGCTTGGTCACCCTCCCAGCGGCGCCGGGCGCCGGCGTAACGGCGTCCGGCCTCCAACTGGCCACGGTGGCGACGCTGGCCGGGAACGCCGCCCTGCTGCTGGCCGTCGGGGGGGCGTGGCTGGGGCGGAGCCTGAGGCGGCGGCTGCAGAGGAGGACGTCGGCCGTCCACGTGCGCCACATGTACTCCACCCGGAGGCCCTTCCGCTCGCCGGCGGCGGCGGTGGCGGCGGCCACCGCCTCCGTGTCGGCCGACTTCGCCAGCTACCAGAGCGGCCGGTCGGCGCGGCTCCCCCCGCTGGAGGAGGGGGACCTCATCCAGTTCCCCTGCGATCGCTTTCTAGAAAGCGCCGCCCGCCGAGACGCCGACATGCAGAGGTTCTCGGACTGACCTTTGACCTGCCGACGCCGTACAGCAATGTGTTTGTGCTTCTGTATTTCTTCGCAGCTCCGAAACAACACTGCAGAGAGGCCGAGCTCAGGGGGGGGGGTTCTGTCCAGAGGAAATCCGGCCCTTCCTGTTTCTCGCCTTTCCTCCTCCATTTCCTCACACCTGCGGGTGTCTCTCTTCGTTTTGTTTGTCGCGACTGCCAGTTGGCGCCCGCAAATGAAACGCCACTGATTTCAACGACGGTGCTAATTCTGAATTTACGGACATCATATCGTCACATGTTTTGTACAGAGTGTAAAGATGGCTGCTGGTTGGCAGGAGAAAAAAAAAAAAAAGTTGATTGTTTTTTTTTACTGCACATATACTTTTACATACTGCCCTGTATCGTTTTGCATTATACAAGTAAAATCCCCAAGAATGTGACTGATTTGTCATTTGGCTGGCTGTTTTAATGCTGTGAAAGTGCTGTTGCTATGGTTACTGAGCATCATACAGGAGACATCTATTGTGTTCAGCCAAAAAAGTTAATCAGCTTTCCATATACATACATAAAATAATGGCTTTTGGGGAAATAATTCAAAGTATGCAACAATTAGCAATTCTTTTGTATGGATTATCTAGCGTTTTTGGACTTAAGATGCGTTTCATATTAACATTAACACATAACTTAAAACATTTTAGTATGTTGCATGCTTTTACCTGCTACTTTTAACCTCGACATACTATTTTTTGTATCTATTTCAAAATGCTGAGTGAGACATTTAGAGTTTTCAAGGGAGGTCGAAAGTATGAAAGACTTGTGGGGAGTTGTATCTGTTTAGAAAATAAGTTTGGTCATACTTCTTTTGAGTCAGCAGGGTGGAGGGCCTCCTGCATTCAAATCAAATCACTCATGCAAAAAAAACAACAAAAAACGCGTACAGACAAATGTGCACGAACACATAACAATTTCATATCGATGCTGGCTCGAGGCGCCCGACATTAAAGTGGTAAAACATCCCAGTTCTCTGTATTGAAGGATTTGTTAGTGTAGAAATAAACACAGAGACCACCTAAAAAGGTTTTCCATCACTGAGAAACCTTTGCTTGCTTTTCACGGCCCATAAAGAATCAGGCCCTCCCACTTCTCCGCCGTTTTACCTCTTGCGATTTGATTTACTCTCAAATTCAGACACTAGATGGCAGGAGAAGACCACACTGTGAGTTCAGAGTCAAACCGATAAGCATAATCTCAGCAGATACAAACGCCCAACTTGACCTGTTTACCCAAACGGACTGAAAAAGGCCAAATCCCTCAGTTTTCCTGTTTTGAGAAAGAACAAATCAATCACAAGAAGATACCAGAATAAGTCTTTTTATTTTAGCATTAGATTTACAGCGATTGTCCTCATCTTTACAATACAAAAATGTAATTCCAGCTGAATTGAACTGACAGAGATTTAGAAATGAAGTGCAATTTGTAGTACTTTAGTGACTCAAGGCATTTGTGTTACAAAAAAAAGAAAAGTGCCTCATAGGAAACGCTGTACAATCATCTTTTAAATGGCTGTCCAACACACATGCAGAGTTCGGCTGACTTTCTATTTACAACACTGTGAAATTTCATTGCTTAAAATATCATTTAGCCTCAAACTGTTTTATTTGTTTTTTTATAAAAACTAGAACAAATACAGCTGTACAAGTTATTGTAAGCTGCCCTGGCTTCGGATAAAAGGCATAAGGTGTGCAGGAGCGTCTGCTCGGTTAGAAACTTTCATGAAATATTTAGGCTTTGATTTTCTAAATTAGTGCAAGATATCAGAGCAAAGGCTGTTCAGAGAGTTCTGATGGTGTGTGTGTGTGTGTGTGTGTATGTGTGTGTGGATTGTCTGTGGGTTACAGGTGAGGGTTAGACTGATGTAAACAGAAAACAGTCATTTACTCCACTGACAAGAGAATCCAGTTGCCGTGTAACTGTCACAGTTCTCACAAAGGCTCACAGACAGGATTCCTTTTTGCACCCGTCACCCCAGAAAAGTCTGAAAACGGCACAAACACCTCGCCCGACCCGTTCGGCGACACGCGCTCGTGAGCAGAAGGCGAGCGTCCGGGCTTAGGGCGCGCGGCCGCTGTCGCCTTCGGCCGGCGAGGAGGTGGAAATGCTGTGGTGCTGGATAGCTGGGAGATGAGCCCCAGGCCCTGCAGGGGTGGGACTTCCTCCTGGGCTCACCCCTGCAGCTGGACACAGAGACAGCCGTCAAAGCCACTTAAAGCGGGCGGGTCGGCGGCTTTTATGGGGAGCCTGTGCCCTCGCTTTGGTTTGGTTTGCATATTTAATGGATTATTCAAAACCCATATTGGTTTCCGGTTTGTTTTCGTTTTTTCATTCAGATAACTGAATACTGCAAATACAAATAAAACAAAAAAAACAACAGAAGGATACTAATATGAAACATGCCAGGGTCTGGCATGGATCTCTCTTTGTTCTCTGCTGCCCTTGAGTTACATCCAACAGGTGAACGAGTTTTAAAAAATAATCTTTCATCACCGTCGGGTAGAGTTCCCGTTGAATGCTAACGTTAGCTCGCCCGGGGGTTCAGGTTCAGGTCCCATCAAGCGGCGGGACGAAAGTCGGGGTAACACTCCTTTGAACGGAGAGTTAAGAGTGCAGTGCTTTTCCTTAATTGGCTCTCCTCGGGAATAAAGGTGCGTCTTATACTCGGAGGCTGCGGCTTTAACGGCAGCTGCGGTTATCAAGTGCTGTTTAGTTGTGCTCTGCGAGACGCGGTTTCTAGTTCCCGCGCGTGAGACGTTCTTCCACACTAGCCGCGCTACGCGTAACCTCCCACGGGGAGGTCCCAAACGGGGACCAATGTGCCTGAATCGTGCCCGCAGCGTTGATAAAGACGCTGTGCAACAGCTGGGGGGGTAGCTTTAGAGGAGCGGAGTGGCGTGGTGGTGGGGGGGGGCTCTACTCACTGGGGTACCCCTGCGCCTCCCTCTGCCGAGCGGTGACCGGGCAGTCCTTGTGGGTGAGCAGAATCTGCTTCAGCTGACCCACCTCCGACCTCAGCGACGTCACCTCGTTCTGGGGGGGGGGACAACAACAACAACAACGACAGACTGAGGCTGAGTTTCCCCCCTCCTCCCGGATGTTTCCGGGTCGCGTGAAGGGGGGGCCAAACCCCACCTGTAGCTGCAGGTTTGTGTGCGTCAGCTCCTCCGCCTTCTTCTCCAGCGACGACACCCACAGTTTCCTCTTCTGCCGGCAGCGGGTGGCCGCCGCCCGGTTGCGCTCCAGGAACTTCTGCCGCCGCTCGTCCGGGTCCTGCTCCGCCGTCCTCCTGCGCCGGTTACTGCCCCCTCCCCCTCCCCCTCCTCCTCCCTCTCTGCAGCCTCCAGCTGCCTGCACTGCGTGCTGGGAGTGGGACGGCTGCATCTGCTGCCCAACCGGCGACAGCTGAAAGGACAAAAAAAAAAAGGAAACCAGGTTAGCTCGCCGGGCCTAAAACCGCAGGGTTTGGGCGAAAAACGACCCGCGTCCCACCTGCGCCGGGACGGTGAGGGGCGGGGCGGGCGGCGAGCCCTGGTGGAGGTGCGGAGGAGGCGGAGAGCGGTGGGCCTGAGCGTGCGGCCCGTTCCCTGACTGGTGGAGCTGGTGGCCTTGGGGGGAGCCTAGGTGCTGTGCAAGCGGGGCGTGGCACCGCTGGTGGTAGGCCACGGGCGGGGCCGGAAGCTGGGCCTGATGAGGGTGGTGGGGGTGGTGGTGCTGCTGTTGGGGGTGGTGCTGCGCCAGCGGAGGTGCTTGGTAGCGCTGGGACATCATCTCCATCAAATGACCCATGGATGTCCCGGGGCTGTTGAGGGGGACCATTCCCGGGTGTTGCTGCTGGTAATGGTGGCCCATCGTCTGTTTGGCTCTCTAAAACAGAGAGGGATCACGAGAGAGAAACGGAAAGAAAGCTTCCATATTAAACCATATTAAATTAGATCGATATCACAGATAGATTACAAAGGTCCACAGAGAGTGGGATGAGTAACTCTACTAACATGGACCTGAATTCAGTTTTCTGTTCGAACTGTGGCATATTCTTTAGGTAATCGGGCTAACAGGGCCTTCAGATTTTCTGATGTTGGCAAGTAGTTTGATAAAAATAACTGATAATATATGACTGAAAATAATGATAATAATAACTGAGTTTTAGAACAAAAAACAAGGACACTGTTTGAGCCACCTTAATACTGGCGTAATTTATTATTCCACTACCGCTAACATCCCAATATGGACCCTTTAACATAATCTGACATTGGGAAGACCACTCAGTGTCCTTGCAAATTGAATGAATGTAAGATTCCCATTTAAAAACACACACACGAGCTAAAACCTTTTTTTTTTATAACTTCTAACAGAAGTTAGCTACAAACAGCAGCTGAATGAGTGACCAACGGTCCACTCGAGAGTCAAATGGTCATTTTCCATTATACCCTCCCTCTCTCTCTCACAACTGAACATTAAAAGTCTTTCAGTTCTCGGGAAAAATCCCGCTGCAGTCCGTCATTACAGCTCCTCCGAACTATCAACAACTGTGGAGACAAGGGTTGATAAGAAGGATAATGCGTTCCAATGAAAAATGCTGCCGTCTGCAGCTTTATGCCTTCACACTTTATCATTCCCGTGTATCATCTGACTAAACAGACTGTACGAGCTAAATTAAACCTCATCTCACCTTTCTCCCATGCTCAGCGAGAGAGGGAGAGGTCATGTTTAGAGCATGACATCACCTCCCACTCCCCATCCTCGGCAATATAGCTATCTGCTTGCTGTTACACAATATTTCTTTAAGAGAAAAAGCAGATTTCTTTTCACTCGCTCTCTCTTTCCCCCTCTCTCTCTCTCTCTCTCTCCCTCTCTCTCTCTCTCTCTCTCCGGCCATTCAACTACGAAAAAGGGAGCACATTTAGCCGGTGCCAACGATGAGGTCATAGAGCTGCCTCTGCCAACTTTACCAGCCAGTCGAACCCTCATGTGCAGCCGCACGCACAGAGCAGGACGGGACACGAGCATTTCAGCTCTGTTTACTACATAGAAACCCCGATGCTTGGAGCTGCTGGTTACATCATAGGTCTCCTTGGCCTAGATGACACACCACGTTGATATTTCTGTCTGGGGGGATCAGTGAATGAAGACACAAAAAACTGTACGCGAGACACTGATCCACTTGTCGAATGTTTACTTTTCCACTCGAGCCGAGCGCGGCGTTACGGCACAACAGAGGCATGTTAACGCATCCCCCGTGGTTTTAAAGGAGAAAGGTCCCTTTTTCACACTTCGGAAATGGCAAACAACCGATAACACAAAACCAGAATTAAATCCTCTTCTGCATGCCAGGGAGGAGAGGTCTGACTATGTCTGTGTGTGTGTGTGTGTAAGTCATTTGTAAAGAACAAAATCTGAATTTAGTTAGAACATTTAACACTCTTTAAAATTGCATTGTATTTTCTTACTTTTTTGTTTAGTTTGTTATAAGCAGATTTGAGGTTTGGCATTGGCTTTGACAGTTAAAGTGGTGGGACAGAGGAATGCATCAAATCAGTGTGTGCTCTCATAAATAGTGCATGAAGAGCGGTTCAGATTGTAGCCTGGAACCTGACTGGCCTGCAATTTAAAACCGCTTTTCATTTGCCCTACTACACACAGGCCGTGCAACAAGAGTCTACTCATAACCTACGTGTGTGTGTGTGTGTGTGTGTGTGGGGGGGGGGGGGTGCACAGTTATTGCTCAAAAGTGACTTTTCACAATAAGCATCTATTCAACAAAGTCATTGACACCGCGCATTTAATAGAGAAGTGAAACATTCAAAAGGGAAGAGATTGAGAGCAACTTGACACAAGGAAAATAAAACAACCAGGACAATCAGGGGGAGCAAGGAGATTGGGACTTCCTGTGGTCCAGAGCTGAACACATGTGTGTGTTTTAGAATGGAATTACACCCCGTTTCCTGTCTTGATTGGGACGGAACAAGCCAAAGACAGCAGGTGAGACGGGCTGTCTTTGTAGTAGTGCGCAGCTAATCACCTCATCAAAATCCTCTGACCCCAAAGGCACGACCCATTATACTTTTTTGGGGCAAAGGAAAGGGAACACCACTCAATGTTAAAAGTGACATTTTGAGAACATTTTCAGATGTGAAATAAGTTAAACATTCCCTCTGTATCTCTATCGTCCTCAAAGCGAATAATTTGAAGGTATTGGTGTGTTTGGCGTGCTCTGTGTGATAGGAATAAAAAGTGGGGGTTGGGATTTTGGGATTATTGCATATTCTGTGGGGTCACATAGGAACACTGACAATACTAAATACTGTATGTCAGCTCTGTTCAAAACACAAATACTTTAGTGTGAAACTGGTACTTTTGTGAGGATTATTCATGTTTTAAAGCTTATTTGACAGTTTTTCTATTGAGACACTATTTAAACTTTCAGTGCTAAGCTAAGTCAGCTAAGATAAATGGCGACTGGTCCTATCTTTTACTTGTCTGGCATCATCGGGATGCTTCTGTCACACCTGTCTCTCTTTTAGAAAGCAAGTAATTGTGTCTAAAACATCAGGTCTGCCTTTCATACTGTCATCTGACAGTGTTGCCCACAAACTGATACGCCAACTGGCTGCTCCAGTACCTGAGGTGAGGAGCAGGAGGGGTTGTGTACAGGAGCTGGTATACCCATTGCACAGGACATCTGCTTTTCGATCTGAAACAGAAACGAATAACAAAAAAAAAAAATAGACAAATCAACATTTAAGTGTGACGAGCTCCTAAAGGTCCTACGCATCTGGACTGAGGTACCTTTCGTTACTTCACCCACACAGCTCTGAATATATCTACCTTTGGAAGCTTGACCACTTAGGTCACCATACCTCCATCTATAAATCATAAAGCATACGTGTGCGAATGTGTGTCATCCCGAGCATGACAAACACTGCCTCCCATACTTACGGTCATGTGCTGAGCAGATGCCCCTTGCATGGCGGGGTCTGGCAGGGTGCCAGGTAAGGAGGCTGGCAGGGGCTGTCTGTGTCTGTTTCGCATGTGGAGGAGGCAGGACAGCGCCCCGGGAACCGGCCTGTGGTCAGGCACACAGACACAAACGAGCAGGTCAAATGAGGGCTATCCACGGCTTATGTGTCCATAATCCTGGTTCAAAGAAGAGTGTGTTGAAACATCTGTGACCAGGCCTTACAGACAAAAGGAGAGACACGCACATAGATGGGTATTAGTCAGAGAAATGTGAATGGGATGAATTTGAATGGATTGTAAAAGCGAATTAATGAAAGAGGTTGTTAATATTAATTGATAAGAATTGACACCAATCACCTCCGGCTGCTTTGTTTTGGTTGACTAACATTCATCGAATTTATTCAAAAGGGCAAAAAACAAAAAAAGTATTGAAATTCTCGCCACTAGTTTAACAATTTAGAAGTAATTCACAAGACCATATGTTGAGAGAGTGTCTGCTTCCAGGCAAAAACTAAACTGCAGCTTAGTAAGCGTATAAAGCAATGTGTCGGATGAGTCACTAACGCCCGGTTGATAAAGTTTGTCATTACACCACAGCCTCCCTCTGATGCATGGGGAAAAAAACAAATAAAAGAAAGAAGTTCGTCACCCTTGGTTCAAATTATCATTTCAAGAGCTGATGTTGTTACTAATGTTCTTACATAACGTTATATATACATATTTATGAAAAAATATGAAAACGACAATCCTGCTAAAACATATTCAATATTAACTCATTTGGTTCAACACAATAGATAAATATCCACCAGCACATAATCCAAGATTAGTAGAGGAAGTATTTCCTAAAAAAAAATTGTTGCTAAGCATGTTTGACGAGAAGCTTTCAGTATGTCCCTGGACAGAAATAAAAATCCAAAACAAATGTGTGTTTTTTTTTTATAAATGACAGCTTGAGGGAGAGGAGAGGAGCTCTGGGATCTCAGCGGGGGACACAGTGACCCAGGGTGCCATGTGCCGGCCTAACCGCTCTGGCTCCCTGCCCGACAGACAGCGTGGGCCTTGGAGGCCCTGCCGAAGCCGACGGGAATGATGTCATCGCTGAATCAGGGCGTTTGTAACCTTAACATACAGGCAAATACCAAAAACCAAAGCTGTATTTCCTCAGATAGCCACAACAGCTCCACCAGACCAGACGCTCGCAGACCCGGTCGCTGTGGAAACTGCCGGTAAACACCGGAGGAAACAGTCAGAAAAGCCCGTCAGAGGCTCATTCCGCTACGTTTAGCGGGTTTTCACAGGCTAACGTGGAGTCTGGCTTCAGCTGGAGCTGACTTACTGTATCATACCGGTTCGGCTCTCTCCCCACTGCCGTGTCATGGCCTGCCTGCATGGGCCTGGACAGATGTTTGGAGTTTATTATGTCACCGACTTACTTTTGGCAGCTTGACTCATCTAATCATCTGCAGCGACGTGACAAAAGCTTTGTTTATGTACTCTTTGTGTGCCACAGGCAGATATTACCAATACGCCTGTTGATAAGCTAAGAAGAAATTTTAAAAATCATGACATTGACATTTATCGTGGAAGAAAAATGTACAGTTTAAGCTGTTGGTGTCCAACCAGTTACAACAGATTGCAAGCTGTAACGTCCTCTCACTACGTTCAGTCTGTCTTTCATTCGATGTACTCATTATTTTCTGGTTCTTTCTGAGGTCTTTTCTCAAAACAAAGTATTAAATTTGATACCTGTCCGAAATGTCAGGTCAAACTATGAATAAGAGGCGTCACAGTTTAAAGATTTTTGTCTGTTTGGTGAGTAAGATTATAGGCTTTAACACTCATTGGTACATATTTGGTGCCTTGGTCCATTGTTGCTTCTTCTTGAAAACTCTTATATTTTACTGTCATTTAAACGCTCCTGTTGTTTTAATCTCAGAGGTGCGCCGTTAACAGCAGCTGCAAATCGGGACAAAAGTGACAGAACATGCTGGTGGAAAATGTAGAAAAAACTGAACACAAAAAAAAGAGCATTTATTGAGATCATCCTTAAACCTGGACAAATTGCTCCTTTTTAATGCATTTGTTTATCTGTGTTAAGCATGAAATCAAATTCAGAAGTGCACAGAGATTGTGAGCGTGCATGCTGGGATGGGGGCACCAGCTTGGAAGGAATGCTCTCCCATTGCCTCTGCCCACTGCTATTTTTGCCTGGTAGGTTTTTTTTTGTTTTGTTTGGCTAAAGATGTCCCCAATCTGGTGGGGAAGAGCTGGAGACAGGAAAAGGACAGAGAATGGAGGCCCTTCCTAGAATAACTGAGGGCTGCGGGATGTAAGGTCTGTTTATTGATAAGCTGGTATTGTTCCAATATCTGATCACCTGCCAACTCTAAGCCCTTTTTTTTAACCAGACGATCAAATTAAATCTCATATTCAGTGGGTCTTATAAGTCATTACATTGATAACAAAGCACAAAAACAATAGTTTCTCCAAGTTTCTCCATAGAGTCGATCTATATTAATGCAGCTATGCTCATTTGTATGATGTTGTTATGTTTCCTTTTACAACTTTCTCAGTGCTGATGTGAGTTCAGTTGCTGTGTAACACTAAACCTGGAGTATACGCATAAGGTATGTGTATGTATCATGAGAATTTCCGAGACCGAGCTTCACATATCCGTAGCGAAACTGTCAGGAAGAGTGGAGGCAGCTGGCGGGAGCCGGTCAGATGAAAGACAGGAACTCCTCTAATCTGTCAGTTGAATTGGGTGATAACCAGGGAGCCATGGAAGCTGCCCAGGCACTGACAGACTACAGTCTGGGTCGGGGCTTTTACAGACATAACAGAGGCGGTTGGAGAGGGTCTGTCGGACTGTGAGCGGGTGTTATGCAGTGGCTCTCCGTCCCTACTTTGTCCCCTCAGTAAATTGAAGTTTGAAATGTTTCCTTCTTCCTCTCAGCTCGTTAATGAAGCCATGAATTATGCAAGGTGGGGTGGAAAGCCAGTCCATGCCTGACAGAATGACTTATAATGTGTCCAATACAGGACAAAAAAAGGAAAGAAAGAGCGGGGAAAAGGAAATTGAAAGGAAATGTGTGTGTGTGTGTGATAGAGAAACGCGGTAATTCTACACGATTGAAGCAACCCGGTCAAACGCCCAGAGATGTTTTTGGTGTTTGGTTCACGGCTGCACTCACCCTGAATGTGTGAGGGTGGAGGGAGTCTGGGTGATGACCGACCCGGACTGGGAGGAGGAGGTCAGCGCCTGCTGGGCGGCCAGGCTGCAGCTGGGCGCCATCATGGGGCCGTGGCTGTGGGGATGGCTCAGCGGCGGCTGGGGGTGATGCAGCGGCGGCTGGGGGTGGGGGTGCTGGTGCTGGGGGGGGTGTTGGAGCTGAAGCTGGGGCTTGAGCTGGTGCTGGTTCGTGTAGGACGGCCCATTGTGAGAAAGCGTCTGCGGGGAGAAGCGGCGGTCAGCGGTCTCTGGAACTTCGAAGGGTAATATTTGATTTCGGACGGATCAGGTGCAGCTTGTGTTTTATGATCTGAGGTGAAGGTGATACTGATGTGTGTCTGTGTGTGTGTGTTTCAGCATGCCTGCATTTGTTTTGGCACATTTGTGCCTGTTTAATTTATATGTAGAACTCAATCACCTGGTGTGTCTTTCCTCCAGCAGGTCAGATGTCTGCAGTTGTCTAAAGGGGACGAATTGCTTTCATCTTCCACATAAAGTGGAATTATCCTGATTATTCCTTATATGTCCCCTCACGCTTCCCATGCAAAGGTTCAGAGCGAATGCTGAATTAGTGTCCTTTTTTTCTGGATGATATTTACCCGTTTGATGTTTTCCTCCTCTTGTGCTTGAAGGAACTCCTCCTCGATCTCCCGAAACACGCCGACTTCTTCACAGTTCTGCAAAAATCGCGTCGGCGTCGGAGTCTCGTCTGAAAACATCACGCGCAACCGGACACAAAAAAAAAAGAGACGGGATTGTATTTTTTTTTTTTAAAGTTTACAGACAGAAAAATGCCTACAGAGGTGTCTTTTGTTCGACTACCATCCGGGTTGCAATGCAAAGAGGAGAGACAAGTGGCCTCTCCTCTCATCCATGCTCGCTGATAACATCAGTCTGTCTCTCTCTGAGCTGCCTAAACATGCAGAGGTCAAAGGTCAGTAGGGCTCTTTGTCTTTTCCTGTAGAACGAGAGACAGGCTGCAAGATGGGGACAAGGGGAAAGAGACCCGGCGGGAGAGGCTGCAGAGGTTTGATCTCACGCCGATGTTGTTTCTATGGTTACAGACTCTGCTGAGTGGCAGCATTTTGACCCTGAAACCCACTAAAGTTACTCGATGTGCATCGACATCTAATTTCAGGGGCTTATGCCTTATGAACTCAATGTATTCATGTCCAGTTGGTCAGTTGAGGTGGCGGCTGCATTTTCCATTCATGTGAGTCTTTGTCTACGTATCCACAACACAAAATTAGATACAATACAATTTCAAAATTCAGTGAGTCAACCAGGATATTGTGACGCACTACTGTGTGTTATGTGTTATCAATGTGCAAAAGCACAGATAAAGTTATTGAAAAACTAGATCTAGAAGTCACCCAACGCGAAAACTCCTAACAAAATAGTATCCATCTCTTTTGAAAAATCACAAATGAATTCCTAAACGATCAGCTAATCGAAATGAGGCCATTCAAATTTGTTTGTGTACAATCTGGTGGGACAGCCGTGGATGCTTCTGCTGAAGTTTTAAGATGAGCTGACTCCAGGGTTCCTGTGCCCCTTGCCCTGTTTGTTTCCTAAATAATGCTCGGTCTTATCTGACGGGGTATACGGTACATGCTGCAACAGGAGCCGCTCTGTTTCACGCTGCAGACTACCTGAGGGAGGGAGGGAAGCCAGCATCGGGGTTATCTGATTTCATACTGTATAACATATCATCATCATTGTTTCATCGAGCGCTCATCCTGAGAAACCTTTGCTCCGCGCGCGTGCAGACCCGATTTGAGCAGCACGGGGCTGAGAAAATAAAAAAAAAAAGGAAAAGGAAACAAGTATTTATGGGACCTAATTGGGGGAAAGTTAAAGAAATCTCAGCCCTGCTGATATTCCTGCATGAATGCTGTGAAACTGTATCTGTGGGAGGAGGCCACCGGTCTCACCTGTGAAAGCGGAGTCGGCCTTCGCAGGGGCAAACTTGAGGGTCATCTCGTGCTTGTGTTTGTGGACCATCAGATGCTCCTCCTGCTGGAAGCGCTACGGCACATGGACAGAGGGAGAGAGAGGTGAGGGGATGCGAGCAGCTGCGCGACACACGAGATGAGCTGGTTACTAATTTAGCGCTCCGGGCCCGTTTATTAGACTTCCCGTCTCCCCCCCGTTCGATTAAACGAACGGCGTCTGGTCAAGGGCCCGCGTCCGAGTAATTTTCATTTCTACCGAGAAGCGGTTTCTCAGCCGTGTTGAACTGACCTGAGAGCAGCCGGGGGCGCCGCAGACATAGGGCCTGTCCTGTTTGTCATTCATGTCATACGCAAGCCTACGTACAAGAGAAGAAGAAAAAAAAGGAAAATTAAGAACAATCTGTTAGCTCGCAGCCTCCTAACAAGAGGGGAGCCGGCTCTCTGACCAGCTCGCCCCAGCTCCAGCCCATGACACCTCCCGCCCTGTGTGTGGAAGGCCGCGTGTAATCAGATAGTTGCCACAAATGATGGATGCTTCAGTCCGAGACACAACATCATCTCGAGGAAAATGATCCCTTTTGTGAAAGTGGGAGTGCAACAGCCTTGGGTTGAGAACACTACAACGCACAGATTCCGCCTTTTTTTCCCTGCTGGCTTTTTTATTATCCGACCCTAACAACACGTAAACGCCTCAGAGGCATCAGGATCTCGCAGTATCCTGATCTGTGCGTGTGCAGGGAAGGGCTGAGGGGAGGGTCTGCAATTAGGCTTTCATCGGGACGCGGTTGAGAATACGAGCGCGATGAGAGACTGAATGTTCACCGGCTCTTACATCAAGTCATCACGGGATAAAAATATCAACGCGAATGCAGGGCAGAGAACGACAGTGAGCCGGCCTGTGCCGTGGCTAAGCCGGGGGATCAGTCGGGCCATGGGGAGTTCTACAGGGCTCCTTTTTTATCCCCCCAAAATTTGAAGGAACGAGAAACAAAAAAAGCGTGAGACGGAAATATTAATTCTGACTCGCCCCTCGGCCGTTTGTTTTCCCTGAGACAGGAGGCCGGTGCCGGGACGGCCGAGAGGGTCCTGATGCCATGGGAAACAGTGAGAGCTGTAGACAGATGGGGGGGGGGAGTTGGGAAGAGAAAAGTATATGCTTCCATAAGAAATGGAAAAAGTGTGTGAGTGCATGTGTGAG